GTCGCTGCCACCCGTCCAACAGTCGAAGGGCATGAGGCAGGTCCTGAATTATGTGATATTAGTATCCATGAACCACAAACGCAACCTGGACCTAGAGTTAATGCGAATCTCGAACATGTCGACGGCGAGATCATCTCTGACCTGCCTACGATAGACAATGGTCATGGAGATCGTGAACGCACGCCAGCCTCTCATGCACCGGTGCAGAGCGGGTCAGCAATTCCAACCTTTGAAGAACTCGAGTCTGCTACGACGCTCATCAACCCATCTCTTCTCGAGGAAAATCTTCTTCCAGTATTCCAGAGAAGCCCTACCCAAGTCGAGGTTGCAAGTAATCCCATGGATGGTCAGTTGCTCGAAACAACATTGAGTATTTATTGACTGAGTTTGATAGCTTTCGGCTGGCCTAACTTAGAAGGCGATGTATCTTTGCTAGGATGGATGAATGAGGAGGGTCAAGGTTACTCCTCATTCGAGGTTCCAGATATCAACATGACAGATTTCTACATGCAAGGCTTTGAGGACCAATTTACATCAGAGGGAGCTCGGACGAACTCTGGGAATCGTATCGTACCACCTCTAACAAGGCTTGCCACGCCGCTACCAAGCGATTCAAGCCCACCATTGACCTCTCATCCATTCGGGCCATCCGCAAAAGAGTCGCTGCTTTCATCGTCCACACAAGGCAACGATACAGACACATCACCTCTGGAAGAGGCTGCAGACTCGGTTCCAGTAGACAAAGAGGCAGATTCCAATACGTGGCCATTCGAATGGCACTCGACCAAAACTGACAACAAACTTGTTCTCCCCGAACTGCAAACTAATGATATTAGAAGAACGAGGAAGCCGAATCGCCCGGCTAAGGACCATCCGGGTCAACAGAACTCCCATTTTTTCGGTAACTCTGATATATTTGACGCGACTAAGCGGTCCAGCATTATTCAACTGCTTAGCCTCCCGCTCACCCGAACCCCGTGGCCAGAGGATGTCAGCATTCTGAGGGCGATCCCTGGACCAGAAGTTCTTCACCATTTGGTTGACTTGTATTTCTTACACTTTCACGAGGTACCTATATACACATTCGAAGATCCCCCTTAGAATACGCGTTGACCTGGCTAACCGATTCCAAGCTTTGGCCTATAGTCCACCAGCCGACTTTCAACAATGCCGATACTCCAACCATTCAGATTCTCTCCATGGCCTGCATTGGGGCTTGCTTTTCCGGACTCGACCACGCCCTCGATTTTGCCGATGCGTTGGCCGAGCTAACGCGGCGGACATCTACTTGGATGGTATGGTATTCCCCTCCCCCTTCTTGATTCTTCCCAAAGTCTAATAAATGTTGCTCTAGGCTGAACATGATCCGCGCTTCCTTCGTTCGCCATCATATGGAATCTCACTTCTTCTTCAACACATTCATGCGATTGGGTCTGGATCACAACGACTCTTTGAAATTACCGATTCGTCACGCACCCGGCTGGTCAGCATTGGTCGGCACATGATCCACTTCAATGCCACGCTCCATGCCTCCAATTCGGGGCTTTCGTCTAGGAGTGGAGACACCTATGAAAGTTGGCTGGAATGGATCAAACTAGAGCAAGTCAAAAGGTTGATTTGGTTCATATTCGTAAGCTACTTGTTGACACAGGCCTGTACGCTTCACTGACAGCGAGCAAAGGAGTTCGATTGCTTTTACACGGCATTCTCCAAGCAGCCTCCATGCATGAAATTCGAAGAATTGCCTCTCGAGTTTCCATGCGAACAATTATACTGGGAAGCACCCACTGTATTTGCATGGGCGTCTTGCCCTTACCAGTCGCCCCCGCGCGGTGTTCCTACGATGCCCACCCTCCGTGCCTTGTTGAACAAGGAGACAGACATTGCGTCGTCACTGAAACCACTTGACGATTTGAGTAAACGACTCTTGACTCGAAGTCTTGGAAGGTGTTTGGAATCTATTCAAGTTCAGATGGAGTCTGGGGTTTATAATGTCCTGTGGGAAGATAGCAGTGGAAGAGCCGTTACCACCGCTACCAGAGCCCGTATCTCACGATCAATAATGTTGGTCTGCGATCACACGTGGAAGAACGTGTCACAAGGCTCCAATTTAAGATCAGCCTTGCGCATAGCGATCGCTACCCACTACTCCCACATATACGCAGCCGGCAGATTGACTGGTATCATCACTCGCATCGCACGCCGGAGAGCCGCCGAGGCTGACTCCCCATTCGGAGGCAACCATTATAATCTACCAAATACCACAGAAGGTGTTACAAGAGAGAATGCCCACGAGGATGTTTTCATCAAGACAGCATTTCAAGAGGACCCTAGGAATATCCGGGAACTGATGTGGCATGCCACTCAGGTGATATTTCTTCAGCGCCGTCATCCCTTCAATTCCCCACATGAGCCGCTGTCAGTTTTTCTGGCAGGAATTTCTTTATGGGCTTTCCTCAAGTACTTTAACCCAGAGGGTTGCCAACCCGAGGCCGATATCTCGGTGCAGCTCGATGAGCCTTACTTTGGTACTCAGCAAGATGTGCAATATGCACTCCAAGAATGGATCGAGAAAGGTGGTAAGACCTACCTTGATGGAATCGGAAATGTTCGGTCTTCAGATGCTCCAAGGAGGATGCTAGAGTTATGTATTGACATGACCAAACGGCTAAAGGTATGGAAAATGGCCTTAAAGGTCTCCGAAATATTCTCTCGGCTACTACAACGTGAGGACCAAGAGCGTGATGGGGAGAGTACAGCCATGACGATGTATACGTCGTAGTCACAAATGGATCCAGCTACTCAATTTATGAACTGTAATTATACGATTCACATAGCAACCTCCCTTATAATGCCGCGTGACGATGGGGTCTAACCAAATGTGATCCCTGTCTTGTCATCCTTGATGTCGCATACAAGGAATGCCTTGGAGAACATTCCACCTGCAATGATTCTTTTATTATAGGGGTCCACAGCTGCACCGGTTAGGACGCTCAGCTGCTTTCCGTCATCCCAGAATAGAAGCTCAGGAGCATACCCCTTGTCTTTGCTTAGTCGAACAATGGCAGACTCGCAGAGAGTGTCATAGTCGAGTCCACCAGGGCCGAAACCACGCTTGAAGAGGGTAATAAGGTTTGGAAAAACTGTTAATTGGTCAGAATTTGGCAAAAGCAATAGAGATCAGGACTGTAATTTGCCTGGGACAACAATATCTCCGTTTGTGGGTATTTGAGCAAGGTTATCAGGTGTTCCTCCTAGCCTCTGGATGTTGATATTAGCTGGGGTTGAAGGGTCTTTCTCTGCCAATTACTGGGTCTTCACGAAGATGGCTTACCACTTTTCTCTCCAAAATCAAATCTTTAGTGGATGGGTCAACTTCATATATGTTTGTTGTACCCTCGTAGAGGTCGTTCACAAGCAAGGTCTTGCCATCATCCACGAGAAGAACCCCATTGGCATACTGCAGTGGCTCACTAGTAACCACTCGACATGTGGTTTTTGGTCCAGTACCATCACAGTAAATGACATTGGAAGCCCATTTGAACGGCGCGTATTTGTCCTCAAAGTCACGCAGAATACCGTTGTAGTAGTAATGGTCGTTGCTTGAAAAGAAAGATCTGGTTTCAGAAATTGTCAGAGAAAGCAAACTCCAGTCATAGATTCTTGAGTCTTACAATGGCCCTGAAGGAGTTACGGCATTTGGAGTTTTCAGAAGTGGGCTTTTGAGATCTTTGACAAATTTGAGAATGTTGGTACCGATGACATGAGAGAACACCGTGATTGACTCGCCACTGCGCTGGTGATTGACAGCGAAGATGTGGATCTGATGTTAGAGGAGTATGTCAGAGACTGGACCTCTCACTTAACAGAGGCATCGGGGAAATAAAAGGTGGTAGGACCTTTTTAGGGTCGTTCTGAAAGCGCCAAATATCGAGCCCATGGAGAACGAGATCACCATCCCACCCTTGTATCTCTAATTTGGAGGTAACATTGCCCTGAGGACAACCGTTAATCCTTACCCGCCTTACTTGGATGTGGCGTGCTGCTGAGCACAGAGAGAAAGTACCTTGATGTCGTACTTCAAGAAGTATTCACGAAAATCCTTCCTCTTGGATTTTTGATGGTTATTGATTGGTGGGTAGTATTGGGACCGCCCAACCGGAGAGCCACATGCTAAAAGAAGAGCTCGTCAGGCTCGCGGAGCATTCGACGAGCTTCAAGTCTTACCCAGAAATGCAGTATCTGATTCATGATGAATCTTGACATCTTCACAAGTCTCACCAGCTGAAGCATACGTTAGTCGACAGTGATGGAAGCTTGGTTATGACTGACACGGCATGGTCCAGCAATGATCATTGTTAAGGCCTCCGTGTCCAAGATATCTGTCTTTGCGATCTCTGTTCACCGCCCTTCCTCCAAAGCGATTCAGCAGTTCTGTAGGTTTGGCGATAACAATTGAAGTGATCAGAATAAACACTCCTACTAAAGCCTTCCTGAGGCTTACATGTTGTCGTACGTGAACCAATGATAGTGGCATTGTTGTTTGCGACTGCATTTTGATACTGGCTGACATGGTAGCGACTTGTAGTATCGAGCTTGGTCAATCCGTCCGACTTTAGCTCCACGACCTTTTAATTGACGAAAATAAAACACCTGATCCGACTATCACATCTGAAAGGGGTCTAGAGTTTGCCTCCTAAGTGGGGAAACTCATACCAATATCGACAGTGAGATGCCGATACGTAGCCATTGAAACCCCATGGCTCGCGGGGTTTTCAAGCCAATGTGCACCCTAGGGGGAATAACGGAGAATGACAGTAATTGATGGGCGTCTTTTACCATTGTATGTACTGTATTGGGACAAAACTCGATGCATGAGATTAAGAAAACTGCATTCACTTTGGAATCTGGTTGCTAGTAGCATGGATTGTAGATCATACTGCTCCATTGGAAAGCTAGACGGCGTGAAATATGGCCTACGGAGAAGATTGTTGAAACCATCACACGTTGCCTACACTTTCCATCCTCAACAACTCAATAGTCTCGTCGTGAATTAGACCCATATTACTCATGGTTGATCCCGGGCCTGAAGGAAGGGGGCTCCCAACTTCGATTTTTCGTGTTTTGTACTTTAGTGCTTCCAAGACGGTTCCACCCTGATATTCATCATTCTGTACCAAGTCGAGCATGACCATTGCCAGTTCTTCAGGCGTAATTAAGACGTCATCCGCGGTGATTGCTTTCATCTTGTCGGGGTTATTGGTCCACAATGGCGTCTGCACCATACCAGGAGCGACTGCAACGACCTTGATGCCAAACTCATGTTGCAGAGGGGCCAATGACCGTGTGAAGGAAGACACGGCGGCCTTTGAAGCGGCGTAAAGCGGCTGACTGAATAACGCAAACTGGGCAGCGAGTGAAGTGATGTTGAGAATAACGCCTATAGTCTCTGTCGAGCCTCTATTAGCCGATCTTTTGATTTGGTCTCGAATTGCTAGTCGAGTTCCTTTGAACAATGCGGAAACGTTAATATTGAGTGATTGATAGCTGTTTGACTCTGTATCCAGCCAGAAATTTGACCATTTCTATAAGCGATGAGAACAAATGCACGCCAATCAAGCTACCACATGACCTTACTGGTTCAAAAACCCCAGCCCCATTGCACAGGATATCGACCTGTCCGAAGGAACTTCGAGCAAAGGTAAAGAGATCCTCTAGATCACTCCATTTGGATACGTCCGTCTTTTTGAAGAGGACCTTGGTGCGTCTTGGCCAGGATCAGTCTTGTTGGTTCTCAGTGTGAAGGGCACTACTATTTACCTTGTCTGCTGGGTGAGTGTCTTGACCTGTGTGGACTCATCAAGATCTGCTATAACGACATGGGCGCCATGGCTTGACAAAAGGCGAGCGAATGCATGATTGATTCCTGACGAGCTTTAGCAAGACATATGATGAAGAGGAGAAGGTCGCCTGCCTGATGCTGCGCCAGTCACGATCGCCACTTTTCCCTCAACAGAGAACGGCATCCTGATGCTGTTGTTCGCTTTCGGTGATGGAGTCTCGAAGATGAAAGTCTGGATTAGAGAGCGTCATTTTAGTACGAATGGATTATTGAATTGTTATCGTCTTGAATCCCGTGGCATACTGTGGGGGTTTTGGCGTAATGAACGAGGATGTGGAATTGTGTCAAACCTCGCATCAATGCCATCGATCGCTCGATACGGGTCATGTATTTTGGGGTCATAATACCGCTCCTAATCCACGGCTTCTGTTTGGGAGCGAACGTTAAGCGTGCGACCGCATCACCAATGGGACAGAGAACAATTAGAGATGGAGGGGCGATTGCTGCTACATATTGGTGTCGCTATGTGATCTTATTGCGACCTCTCGCAACCCCTATCATTGACTAATGTATTCCCTTACAATGCCTTTAATGGCTTTAACATCTTAGGGGTGGGTGGTTTAGCCAGAACCCCTGAATCTGCGAAGTCTACAAACTCCTGAGCCGCAATGTGCTTTTCGAATGCTTCCCGGCCGGTATAGCGCTCGAATACGTGAAAGTGATCGCGGTCAACGTCATCGCGAGAAATGACATATTCCAAAGTCCCCTCTTCAGACTCGGTCAAACGGATGAGAACTCGAAGATATTTCTCTAGTTGGTCGCCTAGACCTTGTTTGGCAAACAGCTTGATGGAATTCTTAGCATTGGGAGCCTACGAGTTGGGGCTTGAACTTACGTCGGCATATAGGACGAACTCGTCCTCCGGGGGCGTGGGAAGTTGCATGATGGTTCTTTTTGGTAGTTTATAGGGTGTTTTGGACAGGCCCAACCTCAGTTTACTCAGCAAGGCCTATGGCAAAAGACTCCTTAGATATGTTAAATCGCAAATGGATGTCTGGGGAAGTTGGCGGGGGTTCAGGCCTCTCATGGTCATGGCAAATGTGGGGGATTTGGACATCCAGGGAAAACCTGGCGGGGTTTTTGGCAATCCTCGCTTGGAAGAACCAGTCTCTAGGCTTCACACAAATTGTACCAAGTACGTTGAATTCAAACAGAAGTCTCAGGCGATGTTTGTCAGACGGACATCATGATCAAGGTGCGCATCGCACCAAGAAGAGGTTCTACGATGATTTGGCAGATTTAATCCTGTATGATAGGAGCATCACCATAGCATATCTCCTCTTTGTCCATGACAAGTATCTTCCACATGTTATGCCAGCCCTTATACACATCCAAAGCCACTAGATCAGGTGTCAGTATCTGAATGGTAGGGGTATCTATATGCTTACCCATCCACACTCAGATCCACCCCGTTGACGTATCGACTCATTGGGGAGGAGAGAAAAACAATCACATCGGCGATCTGTTGACTGTCAGCCTTCGGGGAGCGGAGTAAAGAATGCCAACCCAGCATACTTCATCTGGCTCACCAAGCCTCCCCATTGGACAATCATCCAAGTATTGTTTCATCCCAACTGAAACTCCGGCCTGTGGGAGTTGTATCATGGGCGTAGCAGTGTATCTGTGATATCATCAGTGCCATGAGAGTATAACATTACATCAAAACTAGTTACCCTGGACAGACAGCATTGATGCGAATGCCATCCTTTGCAAAGTTTCGGGCGTCCTAGGGGCACGAGATCAGTTGGCTGTCCGAGCCAAAGGCAACTCATTCGGTTTTCTCACGTTGCGGGTTAGTCCAATGACTCCGTGTTTGCCTGTGCCGTAGCTGGTAGTGTTGGAGCCGACCTGTTTGCCATAGATGGAGGAGAGATTGACAATGGTACCACGAACCGAACTGAAGAGATGAAGCTAGTAAGGGACTGCCTGGCTGGCGTCTTAGAAAGGTTGTTTCGAGCAGACTTACTTGTGCGGGTCTTGCTTGAGGAATTGTTTGAGCTGTTCGCGCTGACAGAGCCAAACACCAATCATGTTGATATCAATGCTCTTCTTGAACTCGGCCAGAGACATGTCGGTCGATGCTTTCATAGAACCGGCGATTCCTGCGTTATTGACGGCATAGTCGATCCTGCCAAATTGCTTGACCACGGCTTCATGGGCCGAGATGATCGATTGCTCATCTCCGGTGTCAACTTCAAAGGTGCCGATGTCGATGTTTGGATATTGAGATTTGATTTCGCTGGTGATGGCTTTCAAGCCAGCGACATTGATATCGGCGAGGGCAAGAGATGAAGCACCATACTTTGCAAATGAATAAGCTGTTGCCTTTCCTATGCCTTTGTGAAGTCGTCAGGGGATTGCAAATGAAGACTTGGGAAATATTTACCAGAAGCTGCCCCAGTGATGAAGGCGACCCCACCGTCGAGGAAACCAGCGCCCATGATGATAGATGGTTCAGTTCAAGCGTACGGCGTGCGTCAAATTCTGCGTCAAAGGTCTAGAATGTAGAGTCTACTATTGAAATTCGAGAAAGAGGAGAGAAAGTGGCCGTGACAACAGGGAACAACGGTCTTTGTATACCTCGGGTATTTCCCCCACAGAGACGAGTGTAATCCACGTCGCATGCGACCTCCAAAACCTGGGGTGCCGCAAACACGGGGAATATGAAAACCACGGATACGATGCCGCATGGAAAGGCCGCACCAGGCGCACCAAACAGTATATTTCGTTCGCATCAAAGGATGGTCTCTCTTGTCACTTCATACATATTGGAGAATATTGGCAGATGGGCACTCAATAGTTTATTGGTCAATCAAACACTGTCGATGATATTCGCCTCTATGTGTGTATCCAGTCTTCTATCTGCCCCGCATGACTCAAAGTGCAAACAATACATATTCCGCTTGACGTTGGTTTTTATGCTACACGACTTTGTACACCTTTTTGCACCAGTAGAAACAGGCGATGCCAAACAGGATCAACGCCGCCGTAGTGCCCCAGAACCAGTTGAGGTTGTCAATATCCTGGCCGGGGACTTTGAAATTGCCGCTACAACAACGTTAGCACACGACTTGGTCACATATGAAACAGTCAATACGCACCCAAACATGCCCGTGATGATGTTCATGGGAAGAACGATTGTACCGAGAACGGTCAGCTTTCCGAGAACATCGGCGGTCTGTGATTGAGTCGAGTTAGTCCTTGTACACGACATTGCAGGAGTTGAGACTTGCCTTTTCTTGCCTCTCGTTCATATTGATGCTAACTTGGGCCAGATAATTGCCATGTGCACGTGAAAGGAGTGTTTCATAATGTGATAGGTTGCCCGTCATGGTCAAGATGTGATCCTGAATGTCGCCGAGGTACAGGCCGATCTCGGATTTTGGAGCGACTTCCCACTGCTCGTTGCAGCGCTTTGCGAATCCCTTGATGACATCTGCCTTGTTCCCCAGCAATCGGTATAGAGACATGACCTTTTTGCGGCATTCACCGATACGGATCAGAACGTCAATGCCGCTCATGGCCTCTTCGCTCTTAATCGAGTCCTTCTCCGACACCCGCTCTTTCTTGTCCCGGTTTTCGCCAGCAAGTTCGTTGGTGGACTGAAAGGCTTTCAAAATCAAATCGTCGATGTCGTCGACTTGCTCTTCGATGGTGGTGATCAACGGCTGGTAGACATCGGTGATGTCGTCGATGATGGCGTACGAGATCCAGTCGGCACTAAGGATTAGATAGTCTGAGAGTTGTCGGATTCGGCGGCGGACATTGGCCGGGTGGGGAATCTGAGAAAAGTGGAAGGTCAAGATGCCATGCCGAAAGACACAAACATACATGTTGATGGGTTCGAGGTAATCCTCGCTCTGTGGATCTTGCTCAAAAGTACGATAGTTGATAAAGTAATAATTGCGAAATAGTTCGACTTTCTCACGCGCCTCTTGCATCATGATATCTTCCGACGTCAATGCATGGATACCAAAGGCTTTTGCAAGCACTCTCATCTCCTGTTCGGTGGGACTAACGACATCAAGCCAGAAGGTTGGGCGAGGGCCGTACTTTTTGGGTTTGGGGGAATGAACCAGAGGAGTTGTTTTTTTCTGAGGGGTGTGCGCACCTGACTCCCTTTCAGAAGTTTTGCCACTAGGGTCCGACTTTGACTTGATCAAGCCCTCGGCAAGGGTTGAGAGGGCTGCACTGGGCTCTCGTTCCAATTGGCTTTTGGGACTGGCAACAGGGCTTAAAAGCTCAAGGTCTTGCTTGACTTGGAGCTGTTCTTCGTCCTCGGAGGAGCTGCTTGACTCGATAAGCTCGGGAGGATCAGGAATGAACAACTCCCGGAAGGAGGTCCCCGGCTGTACCAGTTCTGAGATGGTCTGTGAATGAATGGTGCTCTCAAACTCTTCGTTGAAATAAGTATAGCGATACTGAAGATCTTCTTGCTGACGATGCCAGGTGGTTTTGGGAGCACGCAGTCTGCCATCAACAAAAACCGGTTCACTGATTTTCAAGGCCCGACGCTCACCTGCGGCCCTTTCTTCCTTTTCGGCGCGGCTGAATTCATCCAGGACCCAGAGCTGTGGCCACTCACGTCTTCTCCGGCGCCTAGGGTGATTAGGGTCCTCTTCATGAGTTCTGGACCGATCAAAGTAGTCGTCATTGGCTTCTGATGCTTCGTCACCTGGAAAGCAGACGTCACCTTCGACTGGCAATGTGACCGTATGATGACGCTGGAGGCCTTCGGGTCGTAGACGGGGACTTGGAGGAGCAGAGTTGGCATCACGATCGTCGTCGCCGTCGATGTCAATCAGGGTGTCGCGCACGATAGACTGGAGATTTCGTCGGCTGTCGGGTGATCTGGGCAGGAAATTGTCATCGCCGACCATGACATCGCCGTAATGGGCTCCGAAAGTGGGACTCGGGGGGACGGATGGAGGATTATTGATATCGACATGATCGGACCTGGGTAGCGATGATCCCGGTCCATTTGAACGCTTTCTCTGCTTACGGGAGCTGGAGGAGACGGTGGACGTGTGAGATTTGACACGGAAAAGACCGTAGCCCTCCCCGGGGCTTTTGTATGGGGTGTCACTTGGGAGGAGAGGAGTCCTATCACTCGTCTCGTCATGATCTGATGCGTCGGAATCAGGCAGACTTTGGCGACTGCGGAGGCGACGACGAGCGGAAGGGGTATCGATGCGAGGGAAGGTGCCACTGCGGTATGAGGCAGCAAACATGTGATTGGGGTTTAGGCGACTGTCTCGACGAGGCCGCATGGCAGGTTGTCCGCGATGGTCAAGCAAGGCCTCACTGTCAAGGCTCTCATGACTCCGGTTCGCCGGGCTGGCTCGATACAACGGCCGAGGGGTGGGGTGGACCTCATCGTCCTCGATCAACGGTTCATGTTGTCGCGATTCATCGATGCTAGGATCAACAGAACCGACTTCAGAGGGGGCAGCGGCAAAAGACTGTCGACGAGGTTTCCGTTTTTTGCCACCGCGATGCTTCTTTCTCTTCTTGCCAGGTCCCTCTTTGGGGGCTGAAGTCTCGTCGTGGCTCGGAATGGTGACGTTGGAAGCACTGGTGGGTTTTGCCAGCTGGCTCTGGTCGCGTGACTGGCTTTCTGAAGGCCCCGAGGGCTGACTCCGGTTCGGAGGTGGAAGAGGATACATTAGAGAGGTTCTAGTGGTCTGGGCCACGTCGAAGAGGGAGGTCTAGGAGAAGGTTGATAAAGCCACGGCCTGTCAGTTCAGGGAGACAGTGTTCAGCAGCCCGTCGAAACTGCGTCCTCAGAAGGGGCAAACAGAACCACAAACACGAGGAAAAGCTTGGACGAGAAAGTTGATGGTGAACGGTGACATGGACGGCGAGTTCCAAATGATGAATGAGAGGATTCAAGTTGATTTGATTCAGTGTGGGCTGTAAGAAGGCAAAAATATGAATGTAGATATGGAGATTGTGAGTGATGTGTTTGATGAATGGATGATGCAGAATCAAATGCTGCATAAATGCAATGACGTGGGGAATTTTCGGAAGCTACGACTTGACTGGACCTGCCGTGGGCCCGTGCCTGCCTGGAGCCACTCGTGCCAGTCGTGCCACTCTGCCGCGCCTGCCTTTATTGACCATTTCGCGCCAAGCGTCTAATTGGCCAATCAGAGGCCCATTGCTGCAGTCCATCGAGCGCTTTCCTTTTGTTGGGTCGCCTTCAAAAATATCAACATGAAACATGAGGTAGTCGTCGTGTATAGCACAAGAGTCTGGGTGATGGTGGGTGGTGGATGGTGGATATGTAGTTGGTGAATGGCGACAGAGGTCTCGAGTCACAATCATACACCTCTGCATATCTCAAAACTTCTTGATCATACACCACTTATCTAAGACCAAAAAGGAACTCGTGAATTCATTAAAGACACCAATACATGCATGTAGCCTCATGCATTAGACTGTGGAGGAAATCCCAGTCATGCCTTGTTTGATCCGGTTCCCATGACCCGCATCAACCAGTCCTGGCCCAACCTCGCAATGCAATCCAAAGGACAATCAATAAGGCTCCAATCCAAACCCATTATCTCAGATCATATTCTCGCTTGCCTCAATGCCACTCATAGCCCCAAGAGAGTGTGTACTCATCGCTCGCAGACTTTTGGAGTCCCCACTGGCAATCCTGCCCGGGCCTCGGGCCTTTTTACCTTTGTCTGGTCTTGCGATCAACACTTGTGCAGGGCACACCACAATCTCATCGTCGCCCTGTCCAGAGTCGTCGCCCTTCTTGACCACAAGAGGAAACAGCACCATCCGTACCACCGCCTGGTTTCGTTCCAATTCGTCATTACTCGTAGTCTCCCCACTTCGCTCGTTCATCAAGCTGGCGTTGAAGTAGACGTAGCGGGCTAGGTCGCCCTTGGTGTCGTACTCGGGCTGCAGTGGCGGTAGCATGATGTATTCCGCCCGCTGGGTGCGCATCTCGATCGACAGATTGACGGCTGTGTTCATCACGCCCCGCAATCCTGCCACAATCTGCCCTTCCAAATTCTGTGGTGGTGGAAGGAACCTCGACAATGTCGAAAAGATCTCCAGCGACACCGCCTCGGCGTCGTTGTCTCGCTGTGCCTTGAATCCCTCTCGTTTTGAGAGCAGCGTCAATGTTAGAGCCCGCCACTGGTGAACCGCACTCGCAGGCCCCACCTCGCCCAGGTTCTTTTCGAGCTCCTTGAGCTTCTGCCGTTGACTGCGATCCATGCCGAAAAGATAACGAGTAAAGACATACTCCCATATCATGGTCATGACCACCGACATGAAGACATCTCGTCGCTTGACACGGTCGAGCAAGTAATGATCCACCTCAGACCCGTCGAGGATGGCATTGTCGAATCTGTCCACGATCTTGTCGTCTCGAACTTCGCTGGTCTTCCGACATACTCGGTTGTCACTGTATTTGGAAAAGCGAAGCACCCATCCCTGCACTTGTTGGCACAGTTGTTGACATGCCCCATCAAAATAGTCCTCGTCCCGTATCGTCAATATCTGGTCAGCCCCCTGCGCCAGGATCTGTGACTGTAGCTCCCTAATCTTGTCTCTTGCCATGTCGAGCTCTTCTCGAAGCACTTGAATCTCGGCATTTTTCTGTTCGACGGCGCTGTCAATCTCCTGCCGCACAATCATCTCCATCCCCTGTGAAAGCTCCGCGTGACGGCCACGCAATAGTTCCAACTCCCGCGAGGACTCGGTCCATGCTGACTCGACTTGATCGTGCTCGGCCTGGATGGCCTCTAACTTTTCTTGATGTTCATGTCGAAGCGTCTCGTGGGTTGCCATCAAATCTGCCACTTGTTGTCTCAGGCCGGAGATCTCCACGTCCCGCTCTTGTATTTGCGCCGCCGTCGCACGTAATGCTTCTTCATTGGTATTCTCTGACCGATTATGCTCAAAATGTGCAGCCTCGAGGTGTTGTTCTGCTATCAGTTTCGCCTCGGCCAGCGCCCGATTCTCGTTGGCCAGCTGATCCAACCGAGTTTCCAGCTCTTTCAATTGTTGCGTGCTCTGGCGCCGCCGTACACTTGCAGGTCGCGTAGGCGATCGAGGGCTACCGGGATACGAGCCATAGCCATCCTGGAACGACGCTGGTCAATAATCAAGCTCCTGACGAGATGGGCCATCCCATCCATCATATTCAAGATTGAGACTTACATATACTTCTGCCATGTCCCGATCAGACAGGTGAGGGGTTCCTCCTATGTGGTCATTGACAGATGTCTTGAGTGGATCAGGCACGGCGACCGTGTCTGTGCTCTGGTGGTGCGGGAGGTCGGTAGTGCCGCGAAGGTTCCGCAGGGACGAGGTTCTTGACTTGGTTCCGCCAAGAGATTTAGCGTGGCTGAAATTTTCACGTGATATTGAATCGCCGCCATCACGTGATGAAACTGCAGCCGCTCCTAATCCCATGATGCCCACCAACGCAGGGCCACCAATGCCCATGGCATTCATAGGTTCTGCCATGTCCTCGCGAATGGTGTTCAGCGATGTGCCTGTGGGACCTGGTGCCTGATCTATCAGTTCTGGGTTGACTTCCACCTTTGCGGCTCGGTCGATCAGATTCGATGCAAGCATATTGCTACCACTCGACCTTGGAGTCGTGGCCTCGTGCTCGGGTTCACGCCCCGTGTTTCTCATGACTCGCGGACTCGGAGAGCTGATTGATTGATTTGAAGGAGATGGCATTGCCGGAGATGATGCAAACAATGCGGACGATCGATCCTTGCTAGTCGAGTCAACGGGTGATGGTCGTCTTCTGGGCGTTTCAATGGGATAAAGAGCCCCTCCTTTGCTTTCACCAGCGCTTCGGGATTCTGCAGTGTCTTCTATCGAACTAGTTGGTGATTGTGGTCGTAGTGGCCTGGGTAGGACATTGCCAGCCAGTCTGTCGTCCCCCTGTGATTGACTGACCACCCCGCCAAAACCGCTATCTCTTTGCGACGAAAAATGTTCTTCGGCGAGAATGGGGGACTCGAATTGAACCCTGCTGTCCCGAACATTGTCCGCCTGGGTAAGACGGTCAGCCACACCGACTCTATTGAACGACCACTCGCTGGACTTTTGTCGTTTCGGTGATGAAGATCGCGGACGAGAAGTTCGACTTGCCTCTCCACCAGATGTACCAAAGCCAAGTCCTGCGGCAACCCCAAGTGCTGTATCCATCAGATCGTCGTGTTCAGGAGGCGGAGTTAGAGACCGTTGACCTGGTAGATCTTCCGGTTCTTCTCCAGTCAAAGGCTTCGGCGACCGCCGGCGTTTCCGTCTTTCTCGCGTTGTTTCGCTTACATCTGACGAGTTGTCCGCAGCTGAGGCGTGGCCATGGCTGTCTAGGTGGCGCTCTTCAGATGAAGGTACACTCAAAGGCATGTCAGGACCATGAACCTCCATCATAGATGAGTCTCGCATTGCACTCAACCCCGCTAACTCTGGATCATCCAAGTTGATGTCTTCTGTCCCGTTGTATTCGAAAATTCTCCTCGACTTCTTGTTGACTTCTTCACTATCAATGTTGCCCCGCTGCACCACGACGTCATCCTCGTCCATTGTATCTGTTTCGGTGACGATGGTGGGGTTGTCCAAGCTAACGTTCATCGAAGATGCTTCGCCTAGCACTCCTTCACCCTGGCCCAGGTGTTCACCTGTTTCGTTGATCAGATCCTCAGTTTCTTGGCTTGGCAGTTCATGTGCAGTGTCCCAAGCAACCTTTACCTGCTTCTTCTTACTCTTCTTCTGCTTCTTGCTCCTCGGTGCTGGCGTCTCTTGTGATATCTTTTCTTTAGACGAAGGCGGTATAGAGCTCGGTGGTGAGTCACGGAGTTCCACAGCTTGAGGATTGATTGTGCGGTCAGCGGGCGACGCCATATCAAGGGAGATGTCCTCTGCCATTATGCCGGACGATCCTTCGCCTGAGGCTACGGCACCATGATCAGAATCCAACAGCTCGGGCCATGTCGCCTCTTTAGCATTCTCAAACGCTTTACTCTCGCCTCCATCAATGTCATTAACAGGCGGGGGCGATTCCAAGTGAACTTCGACTTTAGTGTTCTCTAGTGTCGCATCATCTTTCCATTGTTCTGGCTCCTGAAGAGAGACGAATGGTACTGCAGCATTATCGTCCGCATGCACGGCATCATAAGTCTCATTTTCACTTGCCTTGGGCGCAAACAATTCTGCACTATCGTAAGGGTGCACGATCGTAGCTGGTGGAAACATGCCGGGAAGGACTGGTTGAAAAGACTCCTTGTCGGCCCGTCCGGTGTCTTGCTGTTGTTCTAATCGTGTCACTGATGTGGAAGTGGGGTCCTCGTTTGCGGTGTTCGTCTCTTGGACCGTGCTCTCAAAAGAACTAGGTAGGGTCGTAGATGGCGCTTCCGGGCTCCGTGTAGAATCAACATCAAGTGAACCTTCAACGGACGCTCGAGGCTTTGCATTGTTGTCTTCATGATTCCCCGAGAGTGGTACAACGTGGTTTTCTGCTTCCTTCGACTCCGAAGCACTCGAGTCGGTCGCGTTGGGTTCGCCACCAGAGGACAGCATCGTTGGCTGTTGCGTTGCTGTCATGGGTGTTGGTGTATCAGAAGAATCGTGGTGTCGATCCAACTGAACTCCGTCAACAGCTTGGTTTAGATCACCTGCATCGAGCCTTGCAAGCGTCTCGGCCGACGTAGATGGGTTTTGTAATGGCTGACCAACGGCCCTTCCCACTGGGTTTAATACATCGGCCGGCTGTGAATCGACTTCGTCCTTGCCCTCGGAGAGCTTCCTAGTCATGATTTCTGAGCTTTCCTTGGGCGTTTCCTCTTTCAATTGCGACTCTGACTGTAGATCTGCTCGACCTTTTGAGCCTTTGTCGCGAATGACCGCGGAGAATGTTTCATCGATCAAGCCTAGGTCGGCAGTGGCTTCTCGAGTGGTAATGGTTTGATCTTCGACGACAACCTCCCGCGAGTCAAAGATCTGGTTTTGAGTAGCACTGTCATCTGAAGCGGGCTCGTTATCGACATTTTGGTTTTCATGATCAAAGTCTGCAGGCGTCAAGTTATAGTCATCTTGACCAGTGATCATAGTCCTCTCCTGCGTTTCAAAATCCGAGGCTGTTTGACGACGCTTTTTCTTGTCTTTTTTCGTTCTTTTCTTTACGCTCCACTCATCCTCGGCCTCATCAGCGACCGGGCTAGTATTGGTGGTGACGGGCTCACTAGTGTCATGTTGAATGCTTCTTTCCGTCTCTGCGGCAGGACTCGTTTCTGATTTCTGATCCTTTGTAGGGCCTGGTGCGTTCACCTCTGGCAATCCAGCTAGACGGTCGACAGCCTTGTTCTTCTTTTTCTTGTCCTTCTTCGACTTTTTGGAAACGCCCCAGTCGTCATCGATCTTGGGCGCGATAGGAGGATCTGCGAGTCCACTTGCCAATTCTGATTGATTGAGGCTAGCGCTTGCGGCTTCTTCAAATACAGTGCCAGCTGTGTTAGCACCGCCTGGAGGAGAGATTTCGGGCTGATTCTGCGATACTTCTGCTGCGTGCTCGCTTTCAATGAGCGCTGACGGCACATCAGCAACCGTAGAGGCCAGAGGATCTGAGTCTGTACAGGTTGGCTGCTCTTGAGCAACTTCGGATTCGCCTTTGGTGACATCTTCCTGGTCAATGATATCAAGGGTTCCCAATAAGCCAGATTTACGTAGTTTCCTTTTCTCCTTTTTGGAGCGTTTCATGGTGGGCCAGAGTTGTTCTTCGGCGTCTGCTATCGAAGCATCCGTTTGGAGAGGCCCCGTTACGGCCAAGTTGTCTGTGGGAGGGATGGCGGTATTGAAGGCTTGGTCCGGGACTGGTTCAGATAGGAAATCGGACGGAAATGTGGAAGCCTTCCGACTTTTTTTCTTGTCCCTTTTTGATCGTCTGGTCAACATTTCCCCAGATGCACCGTCAGTCGGAAGACTCTCTGATGCAATCTCCACAGGCTCAGAAATGGTAGTACTTTCATATGAAGCAATCGGTGAACCCACAAGGTCTGGAAAGTCCGAGCCCTCTTCGGAGACAGCGCCTTTGAAACCCCATTCCAGATTAGGATTGAGCAAAACTTGGTCAAGAGCGTCTTGAACTGCATCCACGTGAACGGCGGCGCGGTGGATTTCTCCGATCTCATCATGACCATCATCATCGTTTACATTTCCAATCCGTACTGTGTCCTCCTGTTCGTCACGGTCATCTTCTATCGGATCGACGACAAGCTTTCGATCTTCCAAACTGCCAACATTCTGCGTGCTGTTACTTTCTTCAACGGGCTGCAGACAGTCGAGATTTTCCTTCCCCTGGTCGTCACCAATCTGAATAATGTTAGCTTCGGTTGGGGCACTTTCGACAGTGTCTGGCAATTGAGTCTCGGGTAGCTGGACTACTTCACGGTCCTTGCCATCAGGGTCAATGTCGTAGAAAATATCAAGCGGCTGACGCTTCTTCTTCTTCTCTTTCTTCGATTTTTTCTTGGAACGATCCGCCCATGTTTCATCCGCTCCAGTCTCGTCCTGGTCTGGCAAAGCGCTAGCAGTTGGTGTACCAGTAAAAGCAAGATTTTGGAGATCGTCAGCAGGTGTTGATATGCTGATGTCAAGGCTGGCAGTCGTAGGCTCGGTCACGGAAGCCGTTTGTGCTTGAAAGTCTGGTAAGATAGCGCTAGGCTCCTTTGCAATCAAGGCTTCCTCCTTTTTCTTGTTCTTTTTAGACTTCTTTGTTTTCACCGGCCACATTACCTCATCAATTCCCTCCATGACGACGGCAGCAGGCTCCATAGTAGGCTCAGGCGCAGTGTCTATAGCCATCGCTTTGACGACATCGTCTGCTCCAATCTGTTGTTGCTGAGTATACTCGGTCTTGGTGGATGGCGCGTTCTGTGAATCGTAGTGGATAATACTGCTTTGAATCGCCGACAGAGGAGGGTGTGTTCTATCCTCCTTCGAAATGAGGTCAGGGGTTGCCGATATGGATTGCTGATGTCTAACATCATCTGTCAGAGTTTCTGTGGAATCGAGGGCAGCAGAACCAGTGTTTTCCGCAAAAAAGGGAGAATTCAGATTGCCGATATCTCGTGGAAGCAGCTTTTCTGTTTCTAGGAAATCAGAACCTGCTGTTTCTTCGACTTGAGGAGTCGCAGCTTCGTGCCTCACTTCTGCTTCAACAACGTCTTCTTCGCGAGGACGCAGGAGCGGAGGTGTCCCATCTGTGGGGGAAATGTTGGTCTCGGGTTGATCATGAGAAGAAGTGATAGCCGTAATGCCTGTTTCCTCACCCAAAAAGTCGTCATTGGGCAAAATCTGGGCCCCTGGAGCGAAATCACTATCGCCGTCTTTGTTTCCATCCCAAGAAATGTTTTTCCGTTGCGATTCGGCGGTTGGACTGAGTTGCTCCAGTGTTGGCGTAGGAGGATCATTCTCTTCGAGTGTCTGTCCTTGTCCTAGGTTGAAATTACTGCCTATTAGAGATACAGGATCTTCAAGGATACTAGCTCTTCCTGCAGTATTCTTGTCCTCTCCCGGGATCTGTGCATCTGTAACTGTGATGGCTTCGTCGAGGCCTACCCCAGGGAGAATCTTTTTCACTTGAGTAGGCTCGAGAAACGGACTTGAATCAGCAAGAGGCCCTGGCCCCTCCACCTGGAGATCAATGCTGCCTGCCTCTGGCGCCTTTTCCTTGTTGCCGTTGCCACTATCGTCAAGATTTTCAGTTTCTCCTGCTTGTGCTTCTGCCAATATGTTGACTAGTTGTACGGAGATTTGGGCGGCTTCGGAGGGTGCCTCTTGGGCAAACGGGCCTTTTGCTTGCAATTTACTCTTCTTCTTGTCCTTCTTGTCCCTTTTGGATTTCTTGGATTTGGGCTGCACGAGATCATCGTCGTTTTGCGGGGGGGTTTGAGGTGACAGCGCTTTTGGTGCTCCAGGAAGTGGCTCAATTATATCATCTGCATTTGTCGCGCCAGAGACGGGAGCCGAAGTGTCTGAATTTGAATACTTCTGGTTCTTCTTACTTTTCTTCGTTTTCTTGGTCTTAACAGGGAAGAGTTCGTCGAGATCATTCTGTTCAGCTTCTTCATCCAGTATCATCTGCTCAAAAACCCGGCTCGATGATGTCGACTCTGCTACAGCGGTAGTAGCGGAGCCTCGTCTGGCGTCGAAGGAAGATTGGTCGGGAGCAGGCGGTACTACAGGATTGTCCTTTCCAGTCGTTATCTCGTCTCCGGCTGCATCGTCAAGACTATTTGGTTCGAGCGGTGCGCTCTCGAAACTTGTACCTTCAGCCGTGTCACCAACGGGGACCTCTGCATGTGAGGCATTTATACCGTCACAGGAAGCACCAGCAACTGGACCGACAGCTGCAAACAGAGAACCGTCTTTCTCTTCCATTCTCAGATTGCTGGGCGGCTCTGACACGGCTTCCCCCAGTGGGTCCTCGCCAAGTTCTTTTTGACGGTGCAGAGGCATATCTGTCGACATATGGGCGGAATTTAGTGGATCAGTGAGAGGCTCTGGTGTTTTGATAGGATTCACTGATGACGGGATTCCAGGGTCCTCTGAGTAACCTACAGGTAAGCCTCTCTTTGAAATATCAATGGCTGCCTGTGGGGAGGCACCGTCAATCAATTCTTGTGGAGAGCCCTTGGGGTCGATATCATCGTCGACGCTGCCGCCTTTTCTTCTGTTCTTTTTCTTCTGTTTCTTCTGTTTCTTTGCAGACACGGAAGGCCAAACATTTTCGGGTTCGACGTTCGTTTGTGCTGCTTCCATATCACCCAGAGAGCCAATCAATGAGACTTGGGTGGACAAATCCACCTCGGACTTAGCAGACGTCAACTCATGCCCAGATGGCTCTGCTAGAGCTTCGGTGGGAGTTGCAGAACTCGAAAACCCAAGTTCTGAATCTGGCCGACTGTGTAGGTGCAGGCTTACAGCAGTGGCACGCTTCATGATGTCCTTCTCCTCATCGACAATGGCATCAGGGATTTCATGGATCTTCTCTGATGGGGTATTCGTGGCTGGGCTTTGCGTTTGTAGACTAGTGCTCAGGATTTCTGCAGGCTGGATTGTTGAGAGTTCATGGAAATCCGGGCGATTATCGTATGCTCTGCTCTGAAGAGCTAGCTCTTGATCCTCGAATTGACGAACTTCAGACTCCTCAGCGTGACCTGTTTGGAGAGGGTCGGCCATCTCAGGTTGGCGTATGTCTGCAGTTGCGGGTTCAGAAAGGTGGTCTATTACATGTTCTTGAAGTCTCGGCACCGACGGCGTTATCGGCGACATGTCTCGTGGGGAGTGTGAGCCGCCAGAAATGTCGATCTCCTTTCCAGTGTCATGGATACTGACGTGCCCGATAACAAGCTCGCTGTCCGGAGGATCGTCGGTCATTGGTGTAACATACTCACTTTCCTCTTCAATGGTGCTCAAGGGCATTCGCGTGGACTCAGCCTGCTCACAGCTAGCCTGTTCCGTGAAAGAGGTCAAAGCATCTGTGAGTGACATGTCAACATTTAGGCCGCGAGCTCTCACTGCCGCACCAAAGGCCTTCTCAAGTGCGCTGGCACCTGCAGCTTCAGCTGCTAGGATCTCAGAGGACTCTTGTAGCTGAGGTTGGCTGTCATTGCTACCCGGCTGGGTATCGCCTTCTGCAGCCGGAACGTCACCAGTCAACAAAATAGGCTTTTCTGTCTCAAATAAATCCGCGGTTGAATCTACAGCTAGCGGATCCATTGGTGGACTTGCACGAGATCTGTCTGAAGTGTCGGGTTCAGGAGTCTGGATGGCAGTCTCAGTCTGAGCCAGGACAGAAACTCGGTTCTTCTTTTTCTTTTCCTTCTTTCTCTGCTTCTTAGAAGTCTTCGAGTTCGCGATAGAGATGTTGTCAATGTCATCCACAATATCAACCTCAGCCGATGAGCGCCCCAGAGATGGGGGCGACAAGGGATTTTGCGCCAAGTCAGTGGTTGAAGAATCGGCATCTGGAAGAGCACCGCCCAGGTCCGCGTGGTGAAGGTTCGAAGCTGACTTTCCACGAGACATGGAGAAGAGAGAAAGGTCCGGCAGAGGTCCAGCAGGATCAAATTCATCTTTGTCGATTCTTTTTGACGCGGAAGATTCGCCCGATTTCTGATCTAGGCCAAACGCAAGTGCTGAGGCGGCAGCCGCACCAACTGTGATAGTCGAGACTGCATCTTGCCACGAAGCTGATGTTGACCGTGATACAGAAGCGCTGCGCCTATCTCTACTTCCACTTCTAGCGCTAACTGGAGGAGACTGGCTTCTGCTGCGAGCGCTCACATAGTCTTGATCTGCCTCAGTGCTGATGATACTTGGCAATGGGCTGGCCGAACGGATGTCTCCATCAATGTCTGAATTATCGTATAACAAAGTCGGATCTTGCAATAGCTCGCTAGGGGAATGGAACTCGTACTTTGGTTTGGGCTTTCTGTCGTTGTCACGAGCTCGCTGCGTTTCCCCCGGGACAGGAGTTGCGGACCTTGAATCGAGATAGTCGGGCGACTGCGGACGAGGGTGCTCTCCATCCCAGCGCGAATAGCTATGCCTTCTTGCTCGCTCCCTGAATAAATCTGCACTTATGTGGGTGGGTGTGAGAGAGTAGCCATGTTCCTGGGCTTGAGCCTCGGCCCTCAAATCCTCAACCGAGGGTTGTGACGAGCTTGCAATGCTCGCGGGAAGTGGAGGATAGTCACCCACGATCGGTGATGAGGATTTTGCAAAGTTCGATCTCTCCACGAGGTATAGGGGGCGGATGTCCTTTCCAGTGAACTCAGTTGACCTTGGCCGACCTTGTCTCGTCCGAGGCGTCGTTAGGGGCGAGTTCGGGGAGGCAATCGGTGAGCTAGGGGCAAACCGAGCATTAGTCGGCGATGAGACTGGCAAGCGAAAATGAACTGGAATTGCAGTTGCATTGCTTGGAGTAGTAGGACTTGACACATTTCCGCCCGTACGAATTGCTGAAAGACGTCGCAAAGGAGTTTTGGTACTAGATTCCAAATGCATGAAATCGTCGGGTTCTTTGTTGCTGCTGAGCAAGATAGCATCGTCCATATCATCCATGTCAATGCCAGATTCTTGGTTTCGAGTCTCAGGAGAGTTATACCTCGAAGCATCAGCGCTCCCCGTAATTAGAGGCCCCGAGACACCATCAGTACCCACTGGCATTTCCCTGTCCGTTGGTTGTGGCATATCGGGGCGAATCCCTAAAAAAGACTTGTCCGAAGTGGTATCATTGTGTTGATTTGCTGGGTCGAAAGATTGTCTCAGCGCATCAGACGCGACGGCCGCCGAGGCGACGATAGTTGCGTCTTGCGGTCGGTGGACTTCTGTATGTTTATCACCAGTCACGAGATATTCCAGAACGCTCGAAGTTTCTGGAGGAGGTGATGCCTGTGTGGACCTTGCTCCGGAGGACTTTGTTGTCACTGGGAATGATTGTTTATGGGGCGAAGATGGCGACCCGGATCGGACACGTTCGTGGTCAAGTGACGCGTCTCCTTTGTCTCCCAGCCCTTCGAGGTAGTGTCTTCCATTCATACCCACGATGTTATGGCTTCCTTCCGTTACAGGCGAGGTGCTTGTGTAGCCAGAAGGTTCATGTTGCTCATTCAAGATGCCCAGGTCAGTTGCAGTTTCAGCAAAAGGACTCCGGTATATCGCTTGCGGTGTGTGTTCAGGCGGCCCACGTTCATGTTCAGACGAATCGGGTTTTGGAGACGACAAGTCTCTCACCCTGGGGGTAATCTCAACCATTCTCGGCGATATGTCAGCAAAGCCATTACTTGTTCCAGGAGCTTGCTCATTCTCCAAGTTTTCAGCCTCATCTTCCTCGAGAGTCCATGCACGGCTGATCCCTGGCCTGTCTGTAATCGTTGGAATTTCCTTCTCCAGCAACTCCGCTTCAGAGTCATCAAGGGTCCATGTACGGCTGGTTTCGGGCCTTGGACCATTGTCAGTGTCAGGTCGAGAATTGTTGGAACCTTGCTCTATGTTTTGCCCCTCCTGTTCGTGTGGGGAAATCTGCTGTGCCTGCACTCGTCCATCGCTGGGGGATTCGGTTTCGTAGACACGGTTGTCATGATCAGCTGATGTTGTCTTGGTGTTATCGATACCTTCTTGTTCAATCTGGTCACGGTTGTCTGGTGGCTGCTCGCTAGGATCTGGCTCGCCTCGTTCGCTGTGCGTCCGGCTTGCTGGCGGCGTGGCTTCGATGAGGCCCAGTAATGGGACTGGCCAGGGGTGTGACATAGGATCATCGTCCGGATGCAAGCCGAATTGATGGTAGAGGAAAGGATCAAACGCAAGTCGTGACTTGGTTCGCGAGGAACCTGGAGTAATCTCCAGGATCGTTGCTTGAAGATCGTCACGGTGCTCGGCTTGGTCGTTGTGCTCCTGCAAATGCTCTGCTAGTTCTTTTGGGAGAAAGAAGGTCCTGTAGTCTTCGTACACCGGGGAGGGCGTCGACTTGACCCGTTGCGCGGCCATGCGCGCGATACGCTGCTGCTGTGTCTCTGGAGTGGGGGGGTCTGCTTTCTCATGGACTTTATCGACGGTTGATCTCCGACGCGGTGGAGTTACGGTGCCGCTAGAGGCAGTATTCCCATTGGCGGTGACCTTTGTGACGACATCATCAATATCTGTCAAAGAGGATTGAGGTGCGGTAACTCGTGGTAGGCGTTTGCGATCTCTGGCTCTGCGCTGTTCCTCATACAGCGCTTGAAGTTGGCGTTCAATTTGGGATTCTCGCCCGTTGGGAGAATAAGAGCGATCACGTTTTACGTTGGATGGACTTTTAGCTTCAGAATCTGTCGCACCTGGACCAGAAATGAGCGCCCCCGTCATGACAGCTGCTGCACCTAGGGCAAGAGCAGCATCAGCAGACTTGCGTCGATCTTTGGATTTTCTTCCACTAGCACCCCACAAGTCTGTCCCGCGTACGTCGGTGTCCTGACGGTCTTGGTTTGAAACAATGAAACTCGACGCTTCTGATTTGGCCTGTGAAGACAAGTTCGCCGGGCTCGAGTCTCGCCTTGATCTTGTGCGAGTGTCTGGCATGTCGGAACGATAATCTTGCCTTTTACGAGCTTGTGAAGATTTGCCTTCGCGATGACTTCGTGGAGACGAAAACTCGGCCTCTGGAGATGCTGCAATGGACTTGTCGATGAAAGTCTTGACATTCGACATGGGTTGGGGCTGTTGCAAGGGGACAGATGTAGAGACTACATGTCGAGGCCGTGAAAGAGCGTACTCGGCGTCATGTTGGGCTACATGAGAAGCATCGAGAGGATTTGGGATGCTTGCCTCTGAAATTGGCCGTGGTTCCAGTTGTCTCAGGGGTGAAAGGCTATTATCGTATTCGAAAGGGACATTGTCTTGCCTGCTATTCCTGTTGCCTCGCAGGTCCACCCGTGGGATTGCCTCTCGCGAGAACTCGGGTTTGTTCTTTTCATAAGTGGCATTTTTATCACTGCTCGCGCCACGTCTGAAACGGGAAGTATTATCGGACGAGTCATCAATGTCATACCATTCATCGTCAGGCTTGCTGGCGCTGACGTGCCGTCGTAAAGGCTGTCGTTCTGGACCATAGTCAGTGTAATCACGGGGCTTACCTTTCCGTCTCCTGCGATCACTTTCGCTGGCGAGATCGTTTCCTAATTTTACCAAACCAGCGACGCCAGCGGCAGTCGCCAGGTTCTTGTTTCGGCCCGAAAGCTGTCGATCTGAACGCTTTCTGCGAACAAGGCCAGATCCGTAGCCCAAGTCTAGATCGGTGGAAGAGCTCGAACTGTTGGCGAAGTTGAAGAATCCTTTTGGACCCTTGCCCTTTCTCTTGTTGGCCGAGGGGCTGGTGAAAAACCCAAGAACTCCACCAGATTCGGCGTTTGTGGCTGGAAGATCGACATAGGAGTACGAAGGTGATACGGAGTCGTGAGGCATTTTAGAGGATGGCGAATGACTTCCATCTCTGTGGCGTGAGGAGGTACGGCGCCTAGACGCCGATACGACTGGGACCGCAGAGGCCACGCCTAGTGCCGCAGCACGACGAGAAATACCACGCGACGACTCTGAAGAGCTCGAACCACGGCGGCCAGTACTACGACGTTCATATTTCCGATTGGTCTTGTCAGGCCCGAATTGCTTCCGGTGGTCGTGGACATGCTTACGGCGGTCGGAGGAAGGTGAACGACGCCTAGAGTGATATTGGTGAGTCGGGTGGTCCTGGAAACTCACGCGACTTTGAGTCAAAGGGCGGCCTGTTTGGACAGAATAGGTGTCATCGAAATCATGATTGGCTTTCAGAGCAGCGCGGCCAAGTTTGGCGGCACCGTAACCGGCAAGACCGCCGACAACGACGTTCTTTGATTTGGAACGTTTCCGGCGGTCCTCGTCCGAAGAAGCACGGTAAGCTTTATCGACACGGTCAGTACTGCCATAGCGACTGCCAGAAGACCTCCTTCGAGGCGGATAATGATGCTTGCGAGGAGCATCTGCCGCAGAACTTCTAGGATCAAAGCAATATTTGCAGACGCCAATGGCTTCGGTGTACTGCTCGAATTCGGCAACAGCCTGAGGGTCGCGGAACCATTCGACGAGCTTTCCCAAAGGACCGCGATGTTTATATTGTGGTCTATGTTGCATTTGTGTGTAGCCTGTATTGTATGGACCATTTGATGGTCCGGATTGATGGGCCTGTGAATGATGTTGAGCTTGATGGAATGCAAGTGCCCCTGCCGTCGCTGCTGTTCCCGCTACGAGTGCTCCGGACAGAGGTATTCCAGCAGTGGCGGGAGAAGAACCACTCGGTTGCAACGGATGCGATTGAGAGCCAGAAACCAAGAACTCCGATGCAGGCGGACGTTGGGGAGAGGTAAAATTACCAGGAGAATAATAAGACGAGGCCTCTCCAAGGGGAGCAGAGAGCGGCACAGTTGAAGAAGGGTGTGACGGCTTCGAGCCATGCTTGACAGGGCCCGGACTGGTCCTTGGATTGATGACGGTCTGGTCCTGGCCGTTGGGTCTGGAGGATGGCTTGAGTGGCTTTGAAGGGTTCGAAGGGCCGGCCGACGTGTTCTGATACGAAGAGTCGGCAAAATAACTCGCGGCAGCTCCCAGCTGACCGAGGCTGCTGGGTTCTGGAGGCGGACGAGGGTCGAGTGAGGGTTCCATCAGGTGAGCTTGCTCGGAACTGGTAACAATGCTAGGTTGCGTTGGGCGGACTCCAGGTTGGAAAGCGACAGATTGACCCTGATCGCCGTAGTATTGTGATGCGAGGCCCGGGGGACGATAGGGCTCGGCATATGTGGATGGTATCTCCCCTGGAAACTGGTTCTGTGGGAGAGCTGGGTTCTCGTCGTTGAGCGTATGATCGTTGGTCGCCCGGTTTTTGCGCGAGCCACGATCACTCTTGTTCCTCGACGAGGATTTGTGTTTGTCATTCACGGAGCGGTTGATTGACATGTATTGTGAATCTTGACGATCTTGAATGGAATCTGGAGCGTCGTTCTGAGGGTACGTTCGCGTTTGCGCACCGCTATAGTCAACGCTTGCAGGGTCTGTAGTAAATGCATTGGCATAAGAAGGGCGAGAGGATTCGGCAGTGTTCCGGCGGGAAAGGGTTGTGGTGCTGATATCATCGTCATCCAGGGTATCTTTCTCGTCATCATATGTGGACTTGGGAGATTCGAGAGGGAGGGCTGAGGAAGAAGTGGGATCGGTGCGTCTCTTGTGCCGTTTTCCATCAGCTGTGCGGTGCCGCTCAGCCTTGGAGGAGGAGGTGTATGAGTCGGCTTTGTGCCGACTAGAGGATGATGTTGGCATCGAGAGCGGGTTTGCGGCAAGACTTGATCAGGTGGAGGTCAAGGCGTCGCGCACGGGATGGGTAGAGCCGATGTCAGTTCAGGGCCAATCATGACGATCGAAGGTTGGAGAGGGTCACAGTATCGTCAATGCGCTGGAATTCGGATGAACAGTACCGATGACGATGGGATGTGAGATACATAAAATGGACGGGTTTCGTGCGCAGGTCGAAAACCAAGTGTGGTGGGTGTTTGGATGATCTGATCGATTGCTTTGCTGGCAAATGATGTTGGACATGGCGCGTCTTCAGATTCAAAGTTGAGTGGCTGGGAAGGCGAGGCTGATCTCAGGCTGCACCTTCCTCCTGCCACCCATTGGATACGGCAGGATCGATCAACCCACACAACTCACCCACTGCACCTTCCCTGTAATCATCCCCAGTGCCACCCACTCACGTGGTGCCGTATCCCGTCCTAAGCATCCTCTCACCCTTTCGTCCTGTCACACTCTCCCACACTCGCACTCTCGCATCTCTCGCATCCCTCTAGACCCTTGACGAGTTGAATCCATTTCCATTCATCTCATCATCCTTGGCACCATGTGGCAGGCAACCGTCTAGCATCGTCTTCATCTTTCAGTGCCATAAGCTGACTCTAGACACTTGGTAATTCATTATTGTAGACACGCAAATCTCTGCGGCAATCCTACTTGCCAATCGCCATTTGATTTTGGACTGAAATTCATTTTGGTCTCCTCGTATGTGTTCCGTACAAACTGACCAGATTAGCGAGGAGATGGCCGCGAGGTAAGTTGGTAACCGAGGCGGTGCCATAAGCTCTGGGGCGGCGGCTCGGGGCGGTACCTCCTACTCCGTATACTTAGAAAATACCACTCGTTGGGTTCCAGGTGCCTCAGGTAGGCTAGGTACCTAACGTCATAGCTGGTCCAAGGTTACCTACCTCTAGGTACCTAGGTACTCATGTAGGTACCTAGGTTCCGTTGCCCGTGCTTCTCGCTACCCCGACAAAATATTCGTAGACCCCCATACCAGGGCCCGAGGGCCCCTCACCCTCTATTCCAGATCCCCTTGGTCACATTACGGGCACTTCGGGCACTAACTTAAGCCGAGCTATTCCAAAAATCCGCCCCTCGGCCCCCATTGCCCTCTACTGTTCTCTCATCACTCGGCGCTCTTCCATGTCTGAGGGAGGTATAGCATTTCGTGCAGACAGGCAAGACGCCACGACGCTCGAGGGGCCATCACTCTATCTACTCACCTAAGCAGCTTCAAATCATTACCGCCAGTGACCTGAACCGCTGTTGGTCTCAATCTTGACCTGCTTGATCGACAGATGAATTACTGGTTCAGCCCTTGCTCCTCAACCACCAAATTGCTTGTCAATCCCACTCTTGATTCTCCCGGTCCAGCAATGCCATGGTGTCTCGATCCCATCATGGGTGCGCCAGATGCAAGCGGCGCCGACAAAGGTGTGACGAGTCCAAACCCAGATGTGGCCGATGTGCCCAAGCAGAGACCACCTGTGAATATTTGCTACCCTTGAAATGGAACGGGCGCATCCCTCGATGCCATCAGCCCTCGACAGGCCGCCAACCCCAGCAGCAACAGCAACTACCGTCTACAAACGCCGTCTCTATTGACCCCGCCACATCAAAGCCCTTGGGAATTCGGACAGATCTACCCATACAAGTCCTCTCTCCTCAAATTCTCGAGCTGGATATCTTGAGCTCGTGGACTGCAGCAGAGAAATCTCTATGGAGCCACTACATCACTACCGCTTCCATGGTGGCGAGCCATGTCCAGCTTCGCGACCAGATGTGTCTCCAGATCCTACCCATGGTCATGCATCTTCCATCGTTGCTATATGGTACCTTGGCACTCTCTGCACTGCACCGGTCAGCCATGCTCGATACAGTTTCAACCCAATTCCGTCCTGACGACACCATCTCCAATCTCATGTCAAAGAGCTTGAGACACCTCCGTCAAGAGATAACGAGTCACACCTTCCATCAGAGGCTCATTCTCCTCCACACAATCAGGACATTGTGTGTCTGTGAGATTTATTCAGGTAAGGCAGACTCTACATGGCGCATTCATGTACAAGGTGCCCGGGCCATATTACATTCCACCAATCCCTCACCGCACGTCGGCAGAAGCAGTGAACCACATTGGCTTACCCTCCGTTGGTACAACTCGATGGAGGCTTTGACCGCTTTGACCCATCGAGGTCCCGCACTGGACACAGAGGCTCAAATTCAACGATTCACGAAAAACAACCTATTGGACGACCCTGACGACCATACCTTAGATATTTATACTGGTTACTCTGCGGATCTCAATAATGTATTCAAGAACATAGGACTTTTATCTGCCCAGCGACAGGCACTATTGAAGTTCGGCAGCAACAATTTTGATACTGAGGCACACAAAGACCTTGACAGCCAAATTGACCATCTCGAGAGTACTGTGCAGGCAATGATCTGCCGGGATGGCAAGGACGGCTTGAGATTGCCCGCCAACCTCACCTTGCACAAAGACGAGCTCGATCAGTTTATTGCATGCAATCTCGCTTACCAACATTCAGCCTTGTTACATATTTATCGCAGGTTGCAGAACAAGTCGACGGATTCTGTTGACGTTCAGTCCTCTGTTCACAAAATTTTGGAAGTTGTCACCCGAGTTCTTCCTATGCAACCATTGTCTCCATGGGCTCTCCTTACAACCCCTCTTTTCTCAGCTGGGTACGTCTATAAAGCGCTATTGTCGCAGTTTCCATCACTCTTCTCTAGACCAAGATTGATTGATTTCAGATGCGATGCTCTTGGTCAAGACAGGGTGTTGATCCGCCGCCTGCTTTGCGACCTCTATGCCACTCTTCGCATTCGCAACATCCTGCGAGCCATTGATATACTTGATAGGCACTGGGAAATGCCACCGTTGCCCACCTGCAAGGGTTAGTACGCTGGACCATCTATACAGTTTGCCCACTTGTTTGCTGAACATTAACCAGATGCTGACTCAAATGTAATGGATTTCATTCCGTACTGAAAATGATATTGGTAAGGGTCATGGAGATGTCCACATGTGGCAAAGCTTAAAATTTCAAAGTCTCCCAACCGAGATGGGCTTCCCTGCAGCTCGACGCAAGTATCCCATTGTTTCTCCTCAAATCCCAGAACCAGCTCACCCATTTGAGCAACATGAGCACATCTGTTCGCGCATCTACACGCACAAGCATTCGATGGCCGCCCGCCGAGGCGTCCGAACCTACAGATACACTCGTACTGAGTGTCGGTGATTACTACGTCGACCTACGAGTCGCTCTTATCGACAACAGCATTGACTGGGCCCTCGCAGGACAGCATCATGTTATTTCCAACGATCCAGGCAAGCTTGCAGCCTTATGTTGATTCTGAATTTGCCTCCAGACTGACCAGACGTTAGTCACGGTTAGATTTAGCCATCCATTCGACTCTCATTATGTTTTTGGTCAAGTCGAAGGTCCACCCGATGATGGACTATTCACTGAGCTTCCCAACGGCGATGAGCTGGAGACGGGGGTTATGCCTGCACCTCACCTGGGTGGCAAAGTTCTTCCCTATGAGGAAGTTTGGCACCAGTTGAATCCGATGCGGAATTCTTCAGACGGTGACAATGGCAGCCCCTCCTGGATTTTGGAGAGCGTGGATGGGACCAGATCAACTGATGGAGGGGTGACAGTCAAGTCTTATTACGCCAAAACTGGTCGGTACTATCTTGCTCTACGCCGCAAAGAAGACGCGAGCCGATCGATTCTTAGTTTCTCCGCCGTCCGACAGGATTGGGACGAAGCTCAGTGCATATGGGTCACAAAATATGAGATAGGAGATATCACTGGTATGTTTGTAATCCGAGATGGTGTTGAAAACGAGGAGAAGTGGTTCGAGGGTGACCAAGTTGCCATCGGCTCGGAGGAGGAAGCTTGTATCGTCAGGGCCGTGGCATTACAATCATAGCCAATATTAGCAAAGACAATTCGTTTGATTCTGGTATCATCGAGTCCCGTGCTTCCACAGTGCTATCAGTGAACAGTCAGTGGCGGTGATCTCCATCTCCTCGACTTTCCAGGTTGGGGATAGTGGCGGGATGTAATCATCAATCATATCGATGGGGGTACTCGTAGACCTGCGTGACCTGATAGTATTAATTTTTGTTTGATGGGTCGCAAGTGCAGCCAAAGAGATGAAGTCCGATCTGAGGGCGTGCAGCTAGCAATTACTGGTCAATGTATGTCCTGTTGACCCCAGCTTATCGTACATCTCCTCGAGCTGCCGGGCTGGGGATGGTTCCAAATTCAGTCTCAGGACTCATTGATTATATAGTCGAGCCTGATGCCTGAAACGCCCACGAGCCATAGTCAACAACCGCTACGCTAGACTACGCAATCTAAGTGTGGTTGCACAAAGTGAACATCGCCAGCCATGTGGGGGCTCACAGTTCTCTTACTTGGATGGTTCTTGGTTGTTGTGGTTGAGGGATGTGTTGCGCTTCGCACCAAAGTACCAGGGCCATGGTATAATAATTTCACCAGCATGGTCCTCAAGTATCACGAATTTTCCAAGAATCGCCGGCTGTGGATTCATCATCTTCATCGTCGATATGGGCCGGTGGTGCGCCTGTCGCCGAACGAAGTCTCGTTCGCCAATCTCGATGGCATGAAAGAGATCTATCAAAGTGGAGGGAGCGGATACGACAAGACCGAGTTCTACGATTTGTTCAAGCAGTACAACAATCGGTGTGCTCGTTCTCTCTTGGGGCTTTGCCAGACTTGGGTTGGTGCTGACCTCGCGCAGGACAATGTTCTCAACCCTCAACCGGCACGACCATGCGCGGCGAAAGAAGCTGTTTGCGGAAAAGTATGCCATGACCAATGTCGTCAATTCTGACATTATCCAAGGGATTGAACAACGTGCGGCGAGCGTTGTGGCAAAGTGCACAGAGTCACTGGGCGGCCACCTCGATGTTTATGTCAGGGCATTGTCGGTTCCTTTTGCTCGCATCGACTGACGTGTGACCAGGTGACGCTGCATTGTTATGCCCTCGACTGTGCCTCGCACTTTCTATTCAATCCCGGTGGAACTGATTCGCTCAATAATCCGAATGACTTGAGATTGATGCAGGAACTGTCTTATCATGACAGCATCAGGCGTGAGTCCCAAAGACCTATGCTGACAGGGGCGCACAGCTGATCTTACGCACAGAACGATGGATTCAGCATTACTGGCCTATCTTGGACAGGGTCAACACAATATTTCGCCCTAAAGCCATACCATTGTCGTCCAATTATGTCCTTGGTCAAGCCCAGAACACCAAGGGTCAGTCCTCCTCTCTCTTGTACAAATTGCAGAGCAAGTCGTCAGGGTTGCCTGCCATCAAAATCGCTGCAGAATGTATGGACCACATGGCAGCTGGTATCGACACGACTGGGGATGCACTGTGTTTCTTGATGCACGAATTGTCGCTACCTCGTTGTCAGCACATTCAAAAACATCTTCACCAAGAGATTGTTGACAATCCCGACGTCAAGACCAATGACTTGGTCTACCTGGATGCTGTGGTCAAGGAAGGTCTTAGACTGTTCCCTCCTATACCCATGAGTCTCCCAAGATACGTGCCTCGTGAGGGTCACAACATCAGTGGATACGACATTCCAGGGGGGTCAATTGTTAGTTGCCAGGCCTACACGCTGCATCTGCTCAACCCAGATGTCTTTCCAGAGGGTGACAGATTTTTGCCGGAGCGTTGGTTGGAGAAAGAAGGGGAGGCTGAACGGAACAGGCTTTTCTTTGCATTTGCATCGGGTGGCAGGGGATGCATCGGCAAGAGGTATGATAGAATCATTCACAGGGGCCACGGAGTTTGCTAACATTGTTCCCAGTTTAGCATTGATGGAGATGAAGACGCTGCTGCGGGAAGTGTACGGAAGGTTTATCACCAAGGTGTCTCCACAAATGAAAGGTGACATGTCTATCGATGACCAGATCATCGCCTCAAGACCGAAAGATCAAACATGTCTTTTGGAGTTTGAGAGGCTGGCAGAGATTGTAGAGCCGGTTTAAGAGACCTGTTTGTTGCTACCTTGTGGATGAAGTCGAGTCTTCTCTTCTAGCCACCTCGGAGGTGTGTTTGTTGACCATCATCTCCTTTATTTGCATCATTACTCTCGACCGACAGACAACCTGAAGGGAGGTCTTCAAAGGCTAGGCGGGGAATTGTAGGACAACGCGGAGAATGGTTGAGAAGGAGGATTGCGGAAGACCTGTTGCGTCTATTTATGTTTAGAGTTAGCCAAATACTTAACATACCTGTAGAGACAATACGGAGTAGAACCTGTAGAGACCATAGAGAGCGTTATAGTCATTGCTGGGGCATGTAGATGGATGGTCAGCTTCAAGTACGCGTGTTGAGTTCATTATTGACGTTATTTATTATTGTTTGCACCTGCCGTCCTTTGCTCTTATCCCACGTGCCTTCCTAACAACAAGAAACCCCGCGCCATGCCAAGCCTCTATACAGACTAAACCTCTTTTGGACATAGACATGTGCACCTCGAATTTATCTTACGTTTCTCTTTTTCCTGGACTGGTCGATAGGTCAATCAGCAGCATTCAATCTACCACCATCCCCGGAAATCCAAAGCACAATTTACGGAGGTGACAATGCGATAGTCTCTCGAATCCCTGCAGCCTTCCTGGTAACAGAAGAATGTGACACTCCTGCCAAGACATCGCCTCAACGGCATACCTGAAGGCTTATCAGTCTCGTCATGCGCAAGCCTTGCCATAATTGTCGTCGATCACGCCTACGATGTGACTTGTCAGTCCCAGCTTGCCGAAAATGCTTCCTGTCAGGCCAACAATGTCTGGGCTATGGCAAGATGTACACTTGGAACAATGGAGTGGCCAGTCGTGGCAAGATGATGGGCAAGTCATTTGAAATGCCCGCTGACGGATCAGATCAGGCTCTATCTCAACCGTCATCCTTCTCTCGCCCTCCGTCCACCAGGGCCTCGTCGAACCCAGACTCTGACACAAAGAGGCCCCTGGAGGCAGCGAGAGCATTTCAGCTTGGTCCGTCCCTGCTGGACCCGCTTGTTCAGGATCTCAGCTACTCCCTGCGATATTATCTCTCCCATTGTACGTCATTCTTCCATACTGCAGTTGTTGTACACATAAACTCACAGATATCAGTCTGTAGCAGGCTTTGTCAAGACTTGGTCACATACGACATTCCTAGTCACAACCCCTACCGGAACCTGGTGGCCATGACCAAGGAGCATCCTTTCTTGCTCCAGGTCATCATCGCTAACTCGGCCATACATATCTCTAATCTGCATTCGCACCGACCACCCATACACTCAGCGACGAACGAGACGTCTTTTGCTTCCCCCGGTGTAGTTGTTTCCACCAAATTCAAGCGAGATGCCCTGCTGGCCGAGCAGCTCGCGTTGCAGCGACTTCGGCAGGCTTTACCGTCGATCGATCGCACCGGACAAGATGTCGTTCTAACCGGCATTCTTCTCTTCATCAATTTTGAACTCATGAGTAGCGGCAAAGATGGCTGGAAAGTTCACGTGGACGGGGCTAGACGCATTATTGACGACTTTGATTTCTCCCTGGTGTCACCATCGGCAGAAACCACCATGTTGCATGATTATGTTGTCTCTGACTGCCTCATGTAAGTGCCACGCTTTGCCCCGTGCGACGAGCTCGGCCACTAACAGTGCAGATACTATGTGCTCGGCTCGACCTTCTCGACGCAAGCACTCAACCCCAAGACGCAGCAGCAAGCAATGGAGCTTCTCCCTGTGTTGGAGAGGGCGCAGGTCAACAGCTATCTGTCATGTCCTGCAGAGCTTTTGCAGATCATGCTCTGGGCATCACATCTCTCAAGATCTGAAGTGATCCAGGAGAGCCAGTCCTGGGCCACCGCGGGGCACGACCAGAGTCTCGAACTCATGTCCAAAGCCCGTTCATTTGACGTTAGGGCGTGGGCGGCACGCGTGCGAGGAATCTCCACGCATGACGATTTTGACAGCCGACTGCACGTAGCTTCGGCCCATAAGGCAGCCATTTGCCTCTATCTCCATCGAGCCGTCCCGTGGAGGAATCTTTTGCAACGTCACGAAATCGACCAGCTGACGGCAGACATTATACAACATCTCTCGCACATCCAACCGGGCAACCATCTGCTGAAAAGCACATCGTGGCCCGCGTTTATTGCTGGGGCTGAGTCGAGAGACAGAAGACAGCGGGTGTGGATCCTGGAACATCTATCTGCCCTGTGGGAAATGTTGCCTTGGGGTTATCTCCACACCGAAGTTGAGATGTTGACAAGCATCTGGAGTGGTGAGAAGGATGACAGTGAGGCTGGTGATGGACAGAACGGGTGGCTTCACCAACTCAAAAGTCGAGGCAAAGATTGGATTGTTGTGTAAAGAGATACCCTTTTGTGAGATGAGTTTGTATTCAGGTTGTTGGTTACCGCCCTGATGAACATGATGATGATGAGATGGACGTAGAATTATGTATACACTATACAATATTTAGTACCTGTCAGATGGTAGCTGGGTAGCACTGGAAGATGCTCTGTGGAGATGTATCTACCAAGGCTTCGTGGGGTTGTCGAGGGGCCTTAGTGCCCGCAAAGCCCGCCTGGATAAAGTCATTCCCCGCCCCTAAGGCCCCATCGGCCCTATCAGATAGGCATGGAGCCACCCCTTGGAGCCCCACTGCGGCGACCATTGCCCCTAAAAGCGTTTATGGTAAAGTCGATGACAAGTAAAGAAACGCCGAATGAAGCTGCGACTGGGAATTTATCCGGCGACCATTGATTTTTCCTGTTGAATCTCATACCTCCCGACCATCTTGAGCATCGACATGTCGAATTTGACCCTCATACATATTCAGTATGGCTTTAGGGACGGACAACGTGCCTTCTCGACAGGATATGTCCCCTGCTTTGGGAGAAGATCCTGTCACAGGCCCGGCTGAAGGAGGTCCATCTTCGCCATCAAAAAATACCACGCACCTCGTCAAGCGCATTTTTGGCTCCAGCAAGCAAAGCGACACGACACAGAACGCTAATATAGATATCGATATCGATATTGAGACGCTCGAAATGCGGTCTGGTGCTGCCGACTCACCCGTCCACATCCAACGATGGAATGAACCGAAGGGCAACATCGCCCGACTGGGATTCTCCTTCTTCTCCTTTGGTATTGCTGGCATGAACGATGCCGCCGTCGGTGCTCTCATTCCATATCTCGAGGAGTATTATAATCTCAACTACACACTTGTTTCGTTGATTTTCCTGACGCCCTTTGTCGGATATTCCACCGCTGCCTTTATCAACGCTACCATCCATACCAAATTTGGCCAAAGGGGCATTGCGCTGGCTGCTCCCTTGTGTCACATTATCACCTATCTGGTCATCTGTCTGCATCCTCCTTTTCCCGTGGTAGTGGTGATCAACATCTTGTCTGGCTTCGGCAATGGCTTGACCGACGCATGCTTTTCGGCTTGGGTGGGGTCGATGGAGAGTGCAAACTCGGTCCAGGGCCTCTTGCACTCGTGTTATTCCATGGGTGCACTCTTCGCCCCTCTAATAGCAACAAGCATGATTGTTAGGGCCCATCTGCCTTGGTACAATTTCTACTACGTCATGGCAAGTGTACCCATGTTCCCCGCTGATTCACCTGCTCGATCTGACCCATGGCATAGGTTGCGGCGTCTGTTGTCGAATGGGTTGGTCTTTCTTGGGCCTTCTGGAAGAAAACTGGTCAGCAGTACCAGAAGGACCATCCTCGTGACTCGAATGCGACAGGGAGCCGCACCCGCGAAGCGCTCAAGTCACGGGTGACATGGATTTGTATGCTTTACTTGTTGATGTACATGGGCGTCGAAGGTATGTGCCTGTTGCCCGTCACTACAGCAAAGCAGCATTGGTCGGCTAACAGAGTGGGTGTATTCAGTGGGCCTGGGTGGATGGGTTGTGACCTTTATGCTTCGGGTCCGGGACGCCTCACCATATGACGCGGGCATCTCAGGAACTGGATTTTGGGCTGGCATGGCTGCTGGCAGGGCGAGCCTCGGCTTTGTGACGGAGAGGTACGGCGAGCGGCTATGTGTATCAATCTACCTGGCACTTGCGACTGCGCTGCAGCTTGTCTTTTGGCTTGTGCCACAGTTTGTCGTTAGTGCCGTAGCCGTGGCCTTACTGGGTTTCTTCCTCGGCCCCATGTTCCCAGGAGGTGTTATGATGGCGGCAAAATTGCTCCCCAAGCACATCCACGTCAGTGCCTTGGGATTTGCCATGGCTTTAGGAGGTACAGGAGGCACTGTCTTCCCATTTGCCATCGGCGCCATTGCCGCAAAGAAGGGTGTTGAAGTACTGCAACCCATCATTCTGGCTTTGATCGCAGTCATCGCTGTTTTGTGGCTGAGCTTTCCCAGGATCAGGAAACGGGAATAGTGACGAACTAACTTAGGGATTATAGAATTGAGATTGCAACCACCTTTACCCAATAGCGTAGGAAGTGGAATAGAATGATTGTGTTTGGTCTATAATGGTGCTGCTTGAACTGCAAGTTACCTAAGTAGTGTGGGAGTTGTTTGATGCGAAGTCCTATTAAAGTCGTCGTGGTAATCGACCATGCGGAGAATTTAAATAATTAATAATAATAAATTTGGGTTGCCAATCACAACATCATCATGGCAAAGGTGCTCGCCCAAACCTTTGCTTGAATAAACACCTCAATCTCTGTGCACATGATAGATTCATCTTTGAGCCCCACGTGTATTCCTGTTTGATCGTACAATCATGTTGGTGATGACGGGGACCACAGGTCATCTTGGTTCTCGGGTTCTGTCCTCGATCCTCGACCTCGGCTTGATACCTTCCAAGGACATGGTTATTTCTTCCAGCAATCCAGACAAAGTCTCATCCAGAGCCAGAAGTGCAGGGATTGAGATCCGCCGAGGTGACTTTACTGATCCAAGTTCACTAGAGAGATCTTTTCAAGGTGCGGATGCCTTGTTCCTGGTCTCGTTTCCGTCACCATCGATCGAACGATGGTTGCATCATCAAACTGCCATTGACGCCGCCAAGAGGGCTGGGATCAAGACTATCATCTATACGAGTCTCATGTTTGGTGGGGAATCCGGCCTCGAGAGTATCGCTGGAGTGCAACAGGCTCATATCAAGACCATCGAGTATCTGAAGCAGACGGGGCTTAACTACGTCATCGTTAGAGAAGGCATTTATGCTGAAAGCTGGTGGCTCTATGCCGGCTATCAAAACGCCCACTTTGACAAGAATGATAAAAGTGAGCTGCGATGGGTCATCCCCAACGACGGACCGGTCTCTTGGGTCTCTTGGGATGACTTGGGCGAGGGAACTGCGTTAATTTTGGCAGATTATCAACGTTACAGTGGACAGACACTACGACTGACTGGGCCGAGAGCCACCGATATAAGGGGGGTCGCGAAAATGGTCGAGTCAAGAACGCAACGGACTGTCAAGGTCGAGATTGTGGGCAAGGATGTGGCCGAGAAGTACCACAAATTTGAGAAGTGCAGTCTGCCCAAAGACAGTTTCTGGATGATTGAGAGCTGGGTTGGCTGGCACGATGCACTTGCAAGAGGAGAAGCAGCTACGGTGGACCCGCTACTTCAGAATCTGTTAGGAAGGCCACCCAAAGGTATGGAGGAAATGGCTGATCAACTTTTCCAACCCGTGTGAGAAGCAGATGGACGGAACCAGAGCGAGTAAGGAAGAAGAGAGAGGAGGGAAAGAGACAGAAGAAGAATATATCACGTGTATGTCCATCCTTGCACGTGCACTGCTGCCATAACACTCCCAGACTCGACCGTAGGGCTAAAGGCCGCGTCTGCGTGTGGCGCGTGAGTGTTCCGCCGTGCGAGTAAGCTAGTCCCAAAACAAGACAGGCGTTCCCCCTCACGTCGTTTGTACGCATTAGGTAGGTACGAGTACTCCGTAGATTGTCTGTCATCGACGTTTCTTTGTCCTGACTCCATCTACCAGTCAACGTGCTTCACTTCAGCACGATGTCTTGATCCATCCCTATTCTTCAACCACCCGCCAATTCCCCGCCTTAGACATCATCCTCGCGACATGTTCATCTTCATGTTCGTTCTGAGTTACCCAGGGTTCTCTACCACATGACCCATCCCACCAAGCCTTCACTCCCGAGCCTTATGACATTGAATCCCCCAACACACTGCACAGGACCATAACTTTCCTCCCTGCTGGGTAGAACCCTTGGCTCTTACACGCCGTCTTGATCCTGCATCACTCCTGCTTCTCGGATCGTCCGTTGTATCAGATCTATCTGTGTCGCGTCATGGCAGACCCATCCGACCCGGACCCATCTTCGCGGACCAAGTCTGAGCCCATTAACATTGACAATGGCCTTGTCACAGACCTCACCTCCAACGCAACAGAACCCTCCGACTCCCTCACACCCGGATATCTGTCTTCCACCCCGTCCAGCCCCTACCTACTCTCTCGAAATTCATCGTATGTTGGGAGTCAGTCGCTTCAAGAGGATTGGGATGTTCCCCTTGACAAATTGACCTTTTTTGACATCTTTGACAATCTCTCCCTTCCCTCCAAACTCGAACGATGGCAGGCCACTCTCGCAGCCCAGAAGACCAAGCTAGCAAAACAACAGGAGCGCATCCGAACCAGTGGTAACAACGCCAGAGATCGCGCTGTCGCTGAATGGCGTAAACGTCTCCCGACCGCCGACGAACAGCTGGCAAAGTATCGAAGCCGTATGAAGAAATCTGTCGACGACCTGAATAAGAGATGGAATGATACCGCCACAATTACCCTGAAAGAGAAAGTCTCCTTCATCTCCGCCGTCCTCAATGTCTTCATCAGTGGCTATCTGATTGGCGGCGTGCCCCATTATTTCTATTATTGGTTCACGGTACAGTTGGCCTACTTCATGCCTATTCGATGGTACACCTATCACCGCAAGGGATATCATTATTTCCTGGCAGACTTGTGCTACTTTGTCAACGCCTTGTGCATCTTGTCCATATGGGTCTTTCCCCGGTCCAAGCGCATGTTCATCAGCACGTACTGCCTCGCATATGGCAACAATGCCGTCGCAATCGCCATGTGGCGTAACTCCCTTGTCTTCCACTCTCTAGACAAGGTGACAAGTCTTTTCATTCATGTCATGCCTCCTGTAACGCTACATTGTCTCGTCCATCTCACCCCTGCCGCTTTCCTCAAACAACGATTCCCTGCCGTTTACAGTATAAAATACAGCGAGCCAAGCTCCCCAGAGCATTACACTCTACTTGCTATGTTGGTCTGGGCCACCGTGCCCTACGCGGTCTGGCAGCTCTCTTATCACTTTCTTATCACCGTCCGAAAACGAGACAAAATTGCTGCTGGTCGTCCAACTTCCTTCACTTGGCTACGCAAATCATATGCGAAAACCTGGATCGGCAAAATTGTTCTAGGGCTTCCCGACACCTTGCAAGAGCCTGCTTTTATGTTCATTCAGTACTCATACGCACTCCTCACTATCCTGCCTTGCCCCATCTGGTTCTGGTCTCGCTGGAGTAGCTCCGCTTTTCTCATGACTGTCTTCAGCTGGAGTGTCTGGAATGGCGCCAACTATTACATGGATATTTTTGGCAAGCGTTTCCAAAAGGAGTTGGAACAGATGAAACGCGACGTCGCCAAGTGGCAAAACAGCCCCGGCACAATGGACAGTCCACCCAGTAGGCCTGAGGATGCCACCGAGGGACAAGCGAAACGGAAAAGTATCGATCGTATCCCGCTCTTGGACGACTTGGGAGACCCTTCCTTGTCAACAGATGTGAACGCGCGTACCACGGGGTCAGCCCACCTTGCCGACTTGGATGGACAGGTTAGGACTCGGAAAGATTTGTAAGGATTGGTTCGGATTGGAATGTATGGTAATTGGATTGGTTGTCTGTGCTTGAAATGCATCTTGCGACGAAACAGAATTGTAGTTCTACTTTTATCTCATTCCACCCTGAACTCAGAAGGATCACTTCCCCATTTGTGGACTCGGGCACCATACAAAAGCTCCTGACCTTTTTAGCCACTGTCATTTCAACCTAGGCTGTTGTCAGGGGAAGAAGAATAAGAAGACGCTGACGCCGACACCAACATCGAGGCCGATGTGTTGACCTGAGTTGGGCGCCCGGTTCTCCTGGCCACGATGGTGGAATGAGATGTTCCACGGACGAGGCAAGCTGGCTGGGAATCTTTGTCCCGTCTTGCGCGGGCCTGTGTACTCGACCGTGATGCCACCTCCTCGTGCTCCTCTATTTCCCATGCTCCTTTCGACTCCTTTGCCGGGGATAAGGACAATCCAACAGCATCATAACATGCGCTTGCATAGGACGGCGACACTTGGTAGGGAAGAGGGATGAGCCTCTCCCCGACCGCTCCAAATTGTGATCGACTAAACACTCCTCGAGGCATGGTCTGCCAAGCTCCCTTCATTCGAGTAGAGATGATCTCTCGCGCTCCCAGGGAGGGGTTTGCTTCACACCAAAGTCTTCTGGAAGTCGGTGTGGATTGGTAAGAATTTGAATGCAGAGTATCCCCTAATTGTGCTCTCAGACATGTCGTGCAGGTGTGTCCGGTCATATATGAATGGTCCACAGAGCAACTAGTGTGACCTCGCAGGACCGGCGAACTAGACTGAACGAGACCCTGCTGCGCTGGTGAAGGGTTTTGATCTGTTGACGGGCTGTAGCTTTTATCTCTGTTCAGCCCTCTCATATCTTTCGTTGTTCTAATAGTTGCATCACTCCCGACAGAAGAACATGGACTGCCCGGTCTCTCTCCATCCGACGTTGGTGAGCCAATATGTTGCTGTAGCAGATGCACCGTCATCTTCACTGCCATACCAACCTGGATGTGCAGTGTCTGTAGCGCATAAAGCCCGTAAATACTGATTCGCCCCCGAGCTGACAATGTCTCTGGGTCAACACAAACACATTGGCAGCTACATCGAAAACGCTGGAATTAAAGGAGAATATGATTCTTGCAGCTCCCAAGGTCAAGCTAGACATCTCTTCTAAGTAAGCTCTGGGGAGTGCCTTGAACCAAGTTACTTGCGCATCGAGTATATGGAATGCAACCAGAAGATCTTCAGCCTAGAATATGAGCACGGACCTAGTGAGTTGCAAACGGCTTGGTTTGGCCTCTGCCCCATTGTCTCGTTTTGTTGCATCCTTTGGGAAATCAGCAAAGCCACCATGATTGTGGTGAGAGATCTCTCGGCTGGAGTTTGTCCAGATTGACATCGACTTGGAAGTCCGCAAGCATCACTGGGTTTGGTGTGTGTCAACATCGCCAGCTTGGATCTTTGTTCGAGCTTCATTATGCCCCAACGCCATCAATCCCCTTCCACCCTGCCATTGCTACCGATCATCCCTGAGATGTTGATCCTCTTAAAGCAGAGGAAGTTAACACTTTCCGAGGATCCAATCTGCCCTTGCCCGTCGCCGCAACATCCCAGACTCTCCCGCGTGAGGATCGATCGAATTAGTAGTCCATAAGTTCAAGGACGCCGTCGTAAATCCCTACAAGTTGTAGTCAGCGGCTTGAGCACAGTGATTTAACGTGGCAATGACTTACTCGTTGTGTCGGGGAAGATAAACTTCTCCCACGCCAGTCCAGTATGAGTTGTCCAGCCACCAAGCCTTTTAATGGGAGCTTTGAGATGCAAGAAAGCCGCCTCCTGGATACTGGCTGCTAGTTCGGACCCGACCCCGTAGTTTACCATGCTTTCATGGACCACCATGGCTCTTCCCGTCTTCTTCACACTTTCGAGCACTGTCTGTCGATCCCAAGGGAAGATAGTCCGGAGATCAATCAGTTCGACGCTCAGGCCCGGTGAAGCCTTCTCTACCGCTTCAATGGCTGCCATACAGGTATACAAAGGCCGGCCATAAGAGATCATGGTAAGATCGCTACCAGTCTTGAGTACTTCGGCTTTACCTAGGGGAAGAGTGTATAATTCATCGGGAACTTCTTCTACCGCAGCTCGATATAAGATTTTGGGCTCCATGAAGATCACCGGGTCTTGGGATTCGAGGATCGAGGCAAGTAAAAGGCCTTTTGCTTGGGTAGGCGATCGAGGCACCACCACCTTGAAGCCGGGGATGTGACAGAAGAGTGACTCAGGAGACTGAGTGTGGTACCTTTGACCTTGTTAGTGCAGACTCCGTGCCAAAATGCAAGTTCCTTACAAAGCACCATGCCCGACTCCACCGCAGGGCATTCTGAGGACCATGCCAGCCAGATTCGCGCCTGTCGCACCCTCACGGTATCGGAACTTGGATGCCTCATTCACAATTTGATCAAAAGCCGGGAAAACGTAGTCTGCAAATTGGATCTCGACAACTGGTTTAGCTCCTTCTGCAGCCATTCCAATCGCTGCTCCAACAATACCTTGCTCCGTTATGGGCGTGTTAAAGACTCGGTCGGGCCCGAACTCTGACTGTAGGTTCATGGTGCACCGAAACACGCCCCCAAATGCCACATCCTCACCGAAACAGAGCACCTTGTTGTCCTCTTTGAGCGCAGCGCGTAACCCTGCATTCACAGCCTGGTAAAGATTGAGTTTCGTGGTTTTTCCATGCTGGGGCAGGTCTGGCACATTCTGAAAAGTGGCTGATGTATGGTGTAGCAACGGGCTCTTGCCGAAGTCGACAGGCAGATTCAATCTTCGCTTGCCTGCGTCCCCTGCTGTTGCATATGCACGCGACGGGGCAGAACGCGTCTTGAGAGTCTCACACAAATGTCTGGCACAGGAGATCATTGTTTGCTTCACATTGACGGACACAGTGGGAGATCGCTATGACATATAGGCAAGCCAGAGGATCTCTTTTTGATCTGAGGAGAGCAAGAGTGGCGGTTTGGTTTCAACACTGGGGATCTTGTAGGGGACTAGCACAGATGCAGTTGACAAAGTCTTTCGCATCCATGGCTTTGGCCTGCTTACGGTTATCATCGGGTTCGTTTCGGGCCCTGGATTGTCGTCATGAGTGGAACTCCATAAGGACAGGCTCTGTGGCAAGATCCATGGCATCTAGTAGCCAAATTGGTCATGAGCATGATATGAAGATCTCAGGGAGTCCAGGCTCCGGAGTACAGGCTACCTTATCCGGCCGGTTTGAATAGGTCCGGAGTACATGGATGGATGGATGGTTACTTAGGTCTACGGAGTTCGGCGTCCAGGCCCCGAAGGACTCGCCTCTGTTGCCTGATCGGGGAAAATTGATTGAGGGTCAAGGTCGGCGCAGATTCACATCTCTCCGCGCCGAACGCGCTGTTTCTTTTCCAATGACCTTTGGTGTCAGTTGCTCGGTAATCATTACAAAACGTAGTCATCCAAGTCACTCCGAGATTTGATCAATGAGGGTGCCAGGAAAGCCTGCTCATGACTCACCTCAATCGATTTCAACAAAGCTTGGCCACATGCTAACGAGTGACCTATCTCACGGATATGTGTCTTCCTGGTTCGATGTTCATGTCATTGTGCTGGTTTGGCACAAATCAACCAGTTGCCTCCGTCAACCACAAAGTAGGCAAAACATTCAAGTACAGTTATTAGCTCTCATAGAGAATTTATTCCTCCCTCATAATCAGCCGCATCATACTCTTCGGGATACTTGAGCATGATACGTTTGAGCTCCTCTCGCTGAGCCTTCTGCTCTTCCGAGTACTCGGCGTAAACATCGTCGAAAATGGAGCTTAGACGAGGCTTCTTTTCTTTTTCCGCGGCCTTGAGTTCTTGTAGAATGCTCCGGCGTACCTGCGCCCGTAATTCTTTGTCCTTCTCATCACTCCAGAGGTCCTTGTTTTCAAGCCATTTCTTCAGCCTGAGAATCGCATTGACACTGGTTTTCCAGGGCTGTACCTCGTCCTGCGTTCGATACGCAAAGCTGTCATCACTGGTGCTATGGTGTGAGATACGGTAACTCATCATCTCGAGGAGAATTGGACGTCCACCACCCTCCAGGGCCCGACGTCTTGCTTCCTTGGTAGCTTCGTACACCGCGAATATGTCGGTCCCATCTACTCGAAGGGTCTCAATTCCATATCCAATCCCTCGACTGGCGATTCCATCCCCTCGATACTGCTCGGTGGTTGGCGTTGAGATGGCAAACCCATTGTTTCGACATATAAATATGGCTGGGCAATCTCTCACAGCAGCCAGGTTGAGTGCACCGTGGAAGTCGCCTTCGCTTGCCGCTCCGTCACCGAAATATGCGACAGCCACTCTTGGAGAGTCAGTACCGCTCTCTCTGTCTGCAAGCTTCAATGCATACGCAGCACCGGTCGCATGCGGAATTTGAGTTCCCAGGGTTGAGGCAACGGCATGCTGGAATGCAAAGTTAGTCTTGGACGAACGCTCATCAAACCTGGTTTAGGGGATGCACCAGACCAAGAACCACCTACCACTCCTGTCTTGACACGCCCACTGTAGTGACATGGCATGTTACGTCCTTTCCCTGGGTCATTCTTATTGTGAACCAACTGACTCATAAAGTCTTGAAGAGTGTATCCACGTTGGAGGAACACTCCCGTTTCTCGATATTGACAGGTAATGATGTCTTCTGGTCCGAGAGCGGCAGCAGATCCCACCATAATACCCTCCTCGCCCGTAGAGACCTGTAAAAAAGAAATTATTTCTGGACTTATGTGATGTTGCGGTTGTAGTGGTCAAGACTGACCATGTAGAAGCTGAGCCGTCCTTGCCTCTGAGCCTCGGACATGATGGTGTCAAGAATATTGACTGAAAAATACATCATGCTTAGTCCTATGAATCCAAAAGTTCAGCAGCATTCTAACCTGTAACCATGTTGCGATACCACTCAAGCGCCTGATCGTCTGTAACTTCGATCGATCCGCGAGTTTCGTCTTCTACCTCTCCCTTCATGTTCATAACTCGAAAGGTGGCAATAGGTGGTAGTTTCTGTGGGCTAATGAAGTCCATTTTCGTGCTCAGAGGGCTCGTAGTTGCACCAGGAAACTGAGGTCTAAGATGCAAATCATGTTAGGTGTTTCAAACGATGGAAGTGGCCAACTCACGATGCTGAGATGTCCCCAAGTGTCATGCTCGAGCTGCACCGCATTGAGGGTTGGGCGTACCAATCATAACGGCGGCCGTTGTGCTGAAGGTTTCTCCTTAGAGGCCCAGCAAGCTGTCGCTGGAACATGTTGAAGTTGGTGGCCATCGACTATGCAAGTGTGTGAACTCTTGAATGGCAGCAGATCAGATCGTGGCCCGGCAGGATGACAAGTTATTCATTGACGGACTCCCGATGAATTGTAGCGCGTCAGCTATAGCCGACGTTGAAACTGCAACACAATGCACACTGCCTGGACCTCTTCACAGCCTGTGCCACGCCACCAGGATGCCGTCTTTGCAGATGACAAGCATATAGTCCAATCTCGAAGTCCGGTTAGAGTCCAGGATGATTAGGGAAGGGCCACTTCATTGGTTCGGTGTCCCCGGCGTCAAACACTCCGATTGCCATACAGGCGTGGGCCGCTTCGGGCCCGGAGACATTGTTCCCTCCCCGAAATGTGGAGAGTATGGGGGCGGTCCTTCGCATACTCGTAGATACAGAGTGGCCAAACAAGAATGCATGTTGCAATCTACTGATAAAAAGGGTGTTTGATCGTTCGGAGATGACCCTGAAACCGAGGTGTAGCATCCTCAGCAGCGCCAACGTCGGTTATCTCGGTCATTGTCTGCCGCTGTTGTCTTCACTCTGTGAAGATCAAGCCAAAAGCACATCGCTCCTCTAGAGGTTTCTTGTTATGTTGGATCATACCATCTTCTGGAGCCCACGCTTCTAGAATTCTATTCCTACGAATAAATGTTGAACTCGGTCAAATTTCACACTCTGAACCCTCTGAAATAGAGAATCGTTCCGCCCGCTTGCTCGGTCTAGATATTGCCCGTTGGTCGCGTTTCACCTCACCTTGGTTCAAGGATGAAGCAATTCGTGTTCAGATGTGCATGCAGTGGCAGCACAAGATTTCCACGACGACAGACTCAATCATGCTTCCCTATTCATACCGGCCTTCGGAAGGATTGGCGGCGGCGTTTCCACCAGTCCCCTTCGTTACAAGTGGTTCGACCTTATATTCTAGCAGACATCGGCGAAGGTATATTACGTGTAGCCACAGGGACCATCACATATTAAGTTAATGGAAACAGGAATCACGGAGTGTCAAATAATCAGCTGGTCCGTGAAACCCGGAGATCGAGTTGAACAGTTCGACCCGATATGCGAGGTGCAGTCAGACAAGGCGACCGTGGAGGTGAGGGAGGCCAATTAACTTAGAAATCGTGCATAGAGCTCATGCAGTCTCTAGATCACGTCTAGGTTCGATGGTGTTGTGAAAGCGCTACATTACGAACAGGATGAAGTGGCAATTGTTGGTAAAGTAATTGACGCTTGTTCCACAAATGGAAGACCCTTCTTAACCTTTGCCATAGGCCTTACTCGACATGGATATAGCCGATGATGTGGTGGAAGAGACGACGAGCGGAAAATTTTCTGTTGATGGTGTTGACGAGAGTCTCTCAGAGCTCGATCATGATAACAGTCATAAGAGGGACATGAATGCTATTCTACCAGCATCGCCAGTCACTCCCGGAGCGCAAACCACAGTGACGAACCAAAGGGTGGAGACGGAAGCGGAGCCACAAGTCTTACTGACGCCAGCTGTACGACATATGCTTAAGGAGGCCGGTATTGCTCCTAGCCAGGTTCGAGGAACAGGGAAGGGGGGTCGGATTACCAAGGATGATGTACATGATTACATTGCCATGAAGATAAAAACAGAATCTGACCAGGGAAGACCTTTGGAAACACCTAATGGTTCATCAAAATCCACTGGGAGAGACCAACTCGTGCGTATGACACCCGTCGAGGACCAGATGTTCAAGGTCATGACGAGATCACTTGCGATCCCGCACTTCCTCTACACTCATTCTGTTGATGTCACCTCACTCAATCAATCTCGGACCAAATTCAAACAAAGAGCTAAACAAGTTTCGGATAACCCAGACAAGAAACCAATCTCCAAGCTTTCGGCGCTCCCTATCATCATGAAAGCAATATCAAGGGCGTTCTTACTTCATCCCAAGCTCAATTCCCACCTCGACACAACGTCTGACCCGAAAAAACCTCACTTGATCTTCAAAGCATCCCACAATTTCGGTATTGCCATTGACACGCCACATGGGCTGTTAGTTCCTGTCGTTAGGGATGTCGAGAAGCACTCTGTGTTGTCACTGGCAGCAGAGATCCATCGATTGAGCAAAAGCGCTCAGGCCGGACGTCTGACTCCGGCCGAATTCAAAGATGCAACATTCACTATTAGCAATATCGGGAGCATTGGGGGCGATGTAGTGAACCCAGTCATTGTGCCTCCAATGGTAGGTATCGTGGCGATCGGGCGAGCATGCGATGTCCCGGTATTTGAAACAGATGAAAACGGCATCGAAAAGATTGTCAAAAGACAAAGACTTACCATGAGCTGGAGCGCTGATCACCGTGTCCTTGACGGCGCAACCGTTGCAAAAGTGGCCGAAACAGTGAATGCTTTTGTTGGTGAAGTCGATACTTGGGGATTGGACCTGTCCTAAGTATGTTAAACGTGGTACGGGAGATGAAGTAAATCAAGTTATATTGTACATTGGGAGGATATAGATACCACAGACAATTCTTGTTCTATATTTGTAATATGACGCCTATCATAGCCACGTCTATAGTCTGCTAGAGAGAACTCTTGCAACGTCTTCTTCAGGAACATAAGACAACAACCACTGCCCAGCGCCGAATCTCCTCCACACGAGGGGGTCATTCCCTGGCTGTAAGTCTTTTGAGAGCGTGGTTGGCAATGTAGACCAGTCAATATTGTTTGCACGGGTACATTGCTCCTCAATTGCTGCGTAAGCTCGCATCTTCTCGTCTCGCGCAATTTGTTCTGGGCCATCATCAAGGTGATTGAGCTCTTGCTGCACATTACCGCGATCAACGATTGCGTTTGTGCGTGAGATTCGGCACTTCTCGTATAAGGCCAAGGCTCGGCGCTTGTCTTCGGTGGATGATTGTTTGGTCATGCCCTTCAAACATTGCCCTAATACCGCCCCGTCTTCGAAGGACATACCTGCTCCACTTGCCAGGTAAGGAAGGGTCGCATGGACAGCGTCCCCAAGCAATACAAGAGAGCCACTGGGATGTACCCATGATTCTATCGGATCCCATATGGACAACCTCCAACGAAGGACTGACTTGCATCTTGACAGAAGCCGGCCGATTCTGAGGTTGCTGTTAGCTTCTTGTTCAGAGTTTGTCAGGATTGAACGTTCGAACTTAGATAAGCCGCACGTGGAAGTCTGGATGGGGAGATAAATGTTTTGATCTGTGCATGCAGACTGCATACTAACCTTGGATCCCAATCTTTGAACAAGTTTTGCATCTCATCCACTTGTCCAGCCAAGGTGGACGGTCCATTCTCAGGCATGTCGTCTGGGACTAGTAGCACCATGTTAAGGTGTTTTCGCTGACGAAGAGCATAGGTGACTATCATCCATTAGTTAACCACTGTCACTTGAAGTGAGTCAACACGTAGAAAAAACCAGGATGCCTACCAACATGTGCACCAGGCCCGTACCAATATGTCACGGCTTTCTCATCCAAGATTGGACCCATTTCAGGATCTGAGCGCACCTCGTCTGCGTCTAACAGCAGTCGATAGGCCATGTCACCAGTATGTCGCGGTACTTCCTCTTTGCCTGAAATAAGTCTTCGGCACTGAGAATGAAGCCCATCAGCGCCCACTACTAGATCAGCCTTCCACTCGGGCTGTGTTGAGGATTTAGTGCTAACGATGGCGCCTCTGTTCGCTGTGTCAAACTTGATACCTGTCACCTCACATCCAACGTGTACCTCGGCTCCAAGCTCAATGGCTCGGTCATAGAGAGCTTTGTGAAGGTCGGCACGATGCACGTCATAGAAAGGGCTCCCATATTCCCTAGAGGCGGACTCCATGTTCATCGAGGAGATCAAGTTTCCCCTCCAGTCAAGAATGTTGCAAGCATCTGTCTCACAGATCTTGGACGGGGGAATTTTATCTAGCACGCCCCAGCCTCTGAGGATCTTGCTGCTGTTCGGTAATAATTGAATCCCAGCTCCCACTTCACCCAGCGCAGGTGCAGCTTCAAGCACAATGGCATGGTGACCAGCCAACTGTAAGGCAATAGCAGCGCCGAGGCCACCTAGGCCAGCCCCTACGACTATGATCTTTTGAACTTAAGTCAGCAATGGACAATATGGATTGCTAGATGGACCGATGCCTCATCAATGGCAGAACATCGCTTACCTCGAGAGCCGACATTCAGAGCAGGGGTTATCGCTAGAACTGGGTCATAGAAGATGAGAAGGGGCAATGGTGCCAAATCAAGACCCTAAGATGGTGATCGTTGAAATCGAATTAAAGACATTTAGACAATTCTGTTCAATAGCCGATGCCGCCCTCGAAGCGGCAACCCGCGTTCGTATCTGACAAGAATCGTTGTCCGACACAAGTTGATGTGAGCACCTCCACCTATGACCACCTTCACACTCGTATCGGGCAATAATCATTCTTGGGCATAACTTGGGGTGAGCACCTCCACCTATGATTAACTTTCACACCTGTGCCTGCAATCATCATTCTTCGAGGCGACCATTGGTGACCACCTTCGCCTGCGACCACCCATTCCTTGTTCGTGAGTTTAGATTTGGATAACAAGGTGGGGGATTGCCCATGTTCTGTACAGCGTTTGCTTCGTGTTGATATCACAGAAGACAGTCATCGACGTTGATTCTTGATACCCAACAAGGTTTAGGTAGTCGCCGCTAAGGTCATTATTCCCGGCTCCGGTCCGAACATCCACTTTGATTGGCCCACAAACGATGCACACGGCTCAGGGGGTCCGCCACCTGAATGAGGGTCCCACAGTTGGTCTTTGAGCCTGGACCGCATAGCCAGGAGGTCTTCCCCCAGGTCTTGACCCCAATCTTCCTTACCATCTGAGATATGTTCTTATCATGATAGGCGGGACAGGAAGCCCACATAGTGGAAAGTATAGTTGAAAGCTGATTATCGGTACTGGTCACAGCGCCCCCACTTCTCCCAGAACCGCAGCTACTCCGCGTTGCTATCTGAACGTCGTCTTCAAACGTCGTCTTCTTGGATATTAAACACACGCTGTAGCTGCTTCTCCAAGGTATGCCTAGCTCTTATCCTTTCCAGAACGAAACCAATTCTGTGTCAAACCAACAAAGCCAAGTATGGAATCGAGGCAGAACGAGAAAGCTGTGCCCTCCGACACGCACGACATCGCGGTCCAGGGTGATCAGGAAGATGTTGCTAGCACCACAGAACATCTCAAGGACCAGGCTGAGATCGATACTGTACACAACGATGAAGCAACCCGAGTACTGGCGACCTATCAAGGAGACCCTACATGGCAGCCCAACGAAGAGCGACGGGTCCGAAAAAAGATCGATCGGAGGCTGCTCCCCATCATGTGCATCACTTATGGTCTCCAGTATTACGACAAGACGATGATATCTCAGGCGGTGAGTCTCCACCCCAGAAAGCAGCACCAAAGTCTTCAGTCTGGCTGATGGTGTAAATCTACACAAATAGGCCCTCTTCGGACTTCGTACCGACCTTGAGCTGACGGGGAACCGATACTCGATGTCGTCTGCTATCTTTCACTTAGGCTTCATCGGTGGTGCTTATCCTGCCTCCCAACTGGCCCAAAGGTTTCCAATCGAACGGGTTGCTGGAGGCCTAGTTCTGATCTGGGGCATTTGCTTCATTCTCACAGCAGCATGCTTTAACTGGCAAACCCTCTATGTCCAGCGCTTCTTCCTAGGTTTCACCGAGGCTGGAGTTAGCCCTATCTTTATGCTGATGATCGGACAATTCTACAAGAAGGATGAGCAATCCTTCATGATGGGGTAAAGTTTGTTGTGCTGACATCGTTATTTCATGGTCTGACTTCTACTAGTGTCTGGTATGCAGCTTCCGGCGGAATTACACTGTTTTCTCCTTTGCTCAATTATGGCCTTGGCCATATTCAAGGGGCAATCTCACCTTGGAGGTATATGTATATTGTTGGCGGCTCTATTACGATTCTTTGGTCATTGGTCGTATACTTTTGCATGCCGCCAGATCCGATTCGCGCCAAAGGGTTCAACGAACGAGAACGATATATCGCTGTTGCGCGATTACGCGTGAACAATGGCGGAGTTCGAAATACGCATTTCAAGATCCAACATGTTCTGGAACTCCTCCGCGACGAGAAATTCTGGTTGATATTTGCCCAGGCGTTCCTGAGCATGATTGCTGCAGGACCAGTTAACACGTTTATGCCTATCATCATTTCCGGGTTCGGGTTCAACGTCCTCAATACTCTCCTTCTCACCATACCCGCTGGGGCTGTTGGAGGTATTTTGATCCTTGGAGTGACGTATACAACCTATAAACTCAGAAACATCAGGACATACGCAATTGTCTTCTGTGAAGGACTAGTGATTATGGGTTCGCTCATGCTATGGCTGTTACCTCGCACCGAGAAAGGAGGTCTCCTCTTCGCTGTCTATATGCTTGTTGCGTACAGCGGCGGCTGGGGTGTTATCATGGGTTTAGCAATCGCAAATGCTGCTGGATATACCAAGAGGGTGGTGAGCTCGTCTGCCATACACGTGGGCTATTGCCTTGGTAAGTTCACTCTGGAATCCTTAGACTTACGGGCGATGTTCTAACGCTGTTTCCCAGGCCAATTTGCCGGACCTCTGCTCTTCAAACCAGCCGATGCCCCTAATTATGCCCCTGGTTTCATCGCAGTTCTAATTACTGCGGCCGTGTCGGCCAGTCTGGCGTTGCTATATCGCTTCATTTGCATGTGGCAAAATAAGCATCGAGACCGTGCAGGAACTCTTGAAGGTTACGATCATGCTTACGAGGATGACGTGACAGACAAAAAGGTAAGTCGGTGTTGAATTCTCACTCCTGAGTTTTTCCACATTTTCGAGTATGCTAACCACCATTCCACTGTTCCAGAATCCTCAATTCAGATACGTTTATTAGTCACCAGTAACTGGTGAATGGGCAAGAATGCAAGGGCCCTCGGTGATTATTTCCAAAGAGAGTCTGTTGCCATTCCTTTTCAGAGTTGAGGTGGGTTCTGTGGACGGGACCAAGTAGTTAGAACAAATATTCCACCGGTCCATTGTATGAGCCAGAGGATTACGATGGCGGCTCAATGTCAGCCAACCATCAACTCAGTCTGCCCTTTTGAACTCTTTTCCAGGAGTCAGGCTATCTATGACCTGGAAGGTAGTGATTAGAATAATAATACTGCCAAGATAAGAGAAAATGCTAGATCTAAGACTGTCTACAAACGAGAGCGGATCTGGCTCTTACTGCCTAATGCGTGGGGCTGGAACCGTCTTCATCCACTTAACAGTGCAAGGAAATCCCACATGCAAGGCACACGAATCTCAGAAGCACCTAGCCCTCCTACAACGAGAGCAGCGGCACTCTCCCATTTGGTATTGTCATCGGCAGGGGCCTTCCCGTAGGTTATCACTCATCTCACATGTAGTGCTTCCAGCGACGGATTTCTACCGAGCGCGGATTAGTATCTCTATTGATGACTGTCTAATCTAGAGATTCACAGCAAAGCAATACTCATGACTAGACGCGACCTGCATCGATATCAATGACCTAGAAAAGTTTAGCTTCACCACCAAGTTATGTGGCCTGGAGACATACTGCAGACGTTATAAACGAGCTTTTATCGCTCAGGAGGAACAGTATAACGTTGGCGATCTCAACTGGATCGGCTAGCTTCCCAAGAACATTTGCCTTTCTCCAGCCCTCGCGGATAGACTCTGGTACAGCGCTCACCATGGCGGTATCTGTAATACCTCTGCACGCAAGATAGTCAGCCACCTTTCAAGTTCTACGAAAGCGGAGAACTCACGGAGCGATCGCATTCACCCGAACACCGTGCGGGCCCATTTCCCGGGCCACCGACTTGGTGAGACCGACAACTCCTGCTTTGCTTGCGGCATACGCGGCATTTCCAGGAGATCCAATTCGGGCCCCGATGCTTGATGCGTTTACAAAGGAAGCGCCCTTCGGATTCCTGTGCTGCAGCTGTGCACGTAGAGAGTTTTTGACTCCTCCCAGATTGATAGCGACGATACGGTCCCAACCAGCGTCGGTTTCTTCTTCCAAATTCACCAAACCTGAACCAGACACGCCAGCGAGGTTCGCAGCGCCTGAATGCGTGTGCTAGTCAGTGTGTGCGAGCCTTGGGTATAACATAGTATTTGTTACTGACCATCAATTGGGCCAAATGCCTTAGCAACAGTGCTTGTTGCTGCATCCATCTCGCTTGAAGAGCTTACGTCCACCTTGATTGCCATAGCGGTCCCTCCAGAAGATGTGATCTGAGCCTCCACATCGAAGATGCTGGCACTGACGTCGAATAATGCCACTGAGGCTCCCTCTGCTCCCAACAATAAGGACGTGGCTTTTCCAATGCCACTCCCAGCACCGGTAACGATAATGACCTTCTTTGAGAGCGACATTTTGATCGGCCTAAGTGTTGCTAATCTTGGCTATCTGAGAACGGGGTTTCTGATGGGTGGACAGTGGTTATCTATTAAGTGGTCATTAATCACGCCAATTCAAAGACCGATACCGTTTGTCGGCGAGGTGATAAAGGCCCCTCGGGCTGCACCATGCTCTCTAGGTTCAAGGGTCCACCCGCGCCTATCATTTGGGGTATGTCGGAATGTAAGCCTATACCTGATAATCCCCCACTTTCTATCTCCCGACTCCTTTCCGGTGCTTGTCATCGACTCATGCCATGCGAATATCCATCTCGCATCCTCCACTGCTCATATTGTGGCGATTAAATCCACAGCCGGCAAGCTACTTCCTTCTATTTGAATCTCCAGGTACCCGAGTAGCGATGATATCAGGCATTCTGACCCAAGGCAAGAGTTCAACATGGCACACAACTCCTTTCCCCTCGCTTCAAATGGAACAACAATGATATCGCCGGATGCGATGGACAGACCGAAGCTTACAGTCTACCTTGCCTGCTTCTTCGTCGCCTGCATTACATGGCTGTTGCTTCGAGGTCGCCAGAAAAACCTTCCAGATGGCCCTCGGGGCTTACCCTTCTTCGGCACCATGTTTTCTATGGGTGATACTTTGCTTCATCTTAAACTGACTGAATGGTCACTGAAGTATGGAGACTTCTTCTCGTATATGATGGGTCAATCCCCAGTGATAGTGCTCAACAGCGCTGAGGCAATCAACGATCTCTTCGTCAAACGGGGGTCAAAGTATAGCTCCCGGCCAAAGGCGTCACCTCAATCCGAGCTCATAACCCAGAATGCGAGAATTGTCGCTATTCCATATGGAGATCAGTGGCGTGTAGGTTCAACACGTACTTCGCATCGTCGACCTACTAATTCCGAAACAGAAGCATCGAAAACTGTATCATGAACTCCTCTCCATGCACAACTCGAAAATTTTTCTCCCATTTCAAGAGTACGAAAGCAGACAGACGTTGAAGAATTTTCTGGATAATCCTACTGGCTTTTGGGACGAGTTAACAAGATACTCGGCAAGCGTGACATTCAGTATGCTGTATGTTCGATTTGAGAGTCTTTCACAGAGTCGAAGTGGTTCTAACACTGAAGAATAGTTTAGGTTGCCGATTCGAGAGTGCTGATTCATTGATACCGAAGGAAATTAACAAGAGAATGCTAGCCATGTTCAAGAACATTCGTCCAGGTGCATGGTTCGTTGACTGGGTACCTATCCTAAATTATCTACCAGACTCCCTAGCCCCGTGGCGAGCATCTGCAATCGATATCCGAAACCAGATCATGCCATTTTTCCTCGTCTTTTACAAGACTATGAAAGCGAGGGTTCAGAATGGCACTGCACCCGACTGCTTCTTAGCCCACATTATCAAACAAGAAGGCGTTACGTTTGAAGAAACAGAGCCTCCTCATATCATCGCAACTACTATGGCTGCAGGCACCGATACTACTGCAACAACGCTCCAGTGGTTCTTCAAGGCTGCGATTATGTTTCCAGATGCCATCAAAAAGGCGCAAGACGAGATCGACCAAGTGGTAGGTCGCGATCGTCTTCCGGACTGGGAAGATCGGGCCCATCTCCCCTATATCACTGCGGTCGTCAACGAAACACATCGATGGGCGACGGCAACGCCCTTAGCTTTCATCCATGCTACCAGCGAAGCGGACGTTTACAGAGGAAAGAATATACCTAGCGGTGCGATTGTGTATAGCAACATCTATGCTGTCCACAATGATCCAAACACATTCGCTCACCCAGAAGAATGGATACCGGAAAGATACCTGCCTCGAGAGGACAAGAGGTCTGCCCCCGAAGCCAACCGTGCCGGATTACATTATGCTTTTGGAGCAGGCCGTCGTGAGTGCCCCGGAAAACATGTTGCAGATGCTAGTCTGTACATCGTGATCAGCCGGATCTTGTGGGCATTTAATATCGAGGCGAAGAAAACTCCACCTTCGGGATATTGTAAGTCGTTCCTCGTCTCTATCTAAGGGTATATACTAAACAATGAATAGCGGGAGCATTTCCCGTCTTCGGCCCTGCCAAGTTTGAGGCAACTGTCAAGCCGCGAAGCGCGGGTGTGGAGAAATTTATTCGAGAACAGGCCTCTATCAATCGTCCTGCAGAAATGGAGGAATCCACTGTCTATGATAAATTGCTTGCTGAAGTTGTTTAAGGGATAAGGAGATAGCTCTTAGGCAACATCAACAAAAGAATTAACCAATGTGACTCTGTTGTAAAATTTGGTCTTAGGACAGGGAGCAGTCCTCGGGAGTGTTTGAAGTGAAATGCTAATTGTGCCTTGAACCATACTGTAGTGTGATGTGGATCTCCCTAGACTGGCATTGCACAATGGGGAGAGATGATTCCCACAATGAGGTCAATGTCGTTGAAGTGGTTTTGTACAATCGGCTTAAACCTCTTGTCATGTATTCTTGTCAAAGATTGCGGTGAAATGAGTTGCTTGGGCTTCCTCACTATGAGTGGGAAAGCCCGTCTATCTATAGCTAAAGGTATGGTTCTACAGTGTACAGGGGGGTTGGAGATGTTACCAACCCTTATGCAAAGGTGTTGGCATCCGACAATTCTCGGTTGCTCTCCAAGGGCGGAATCAACTCGTCAAGAGAAACGCAATGCCACAGACACATGTAGACACAGGTTAGGTACTAAACAGGATATTTCACTAGTGATTTAGAAGACTATGCGCCGGGTTCTGTCAAATGAGTGGCCATATCGGCTCCTTGAATCTCCCGAATCGTTCTCCCCATACCAAAGTATGCAAACCGGTTACTTGCAGTATAGGTCAGTTTAAAGTCTTCATAACGAGGGTTCTCTAGGGCTTCGTTGAAATGCCACGTAGAACCAACTGAGGGTCCTATGACGGGGCCGTCAATCTTTCCATTCTTGAACCTGATCATGGTTGTCAGTCAAAGCCTTATCCAGAAATAATTTCATCACTAACCAACTGCGACAGGTGCTGCTCCAAACCATTTCTTTCATGAGAATGTTCCTATAATCGATGAAGTCCCGCATGGCCTCTTCGCTTGGTTCTAGGCTAGATATGCTTTCCGTTTGCATCTTGGTAATGCATTTGTAGGCATAGTTGATCTCGGTTTCGACCCCAGATATGAGCGAGCCGTTCGCGATGGGACTGTTTGGGCCACCAGTAACTAGAAAGTGATTAGTCTCATAACGTCCCACTGTCAACTGGAATCAAAACGCACTGAAGTAGTTTGGAAACCCGGGAGCCGCAACAGACATATAATGTAACGGTTCGTCTTTCCAGTATTCTGATAAGTTACGACCATTGCGGCCAATGACAGGGAAAGGTGGGCGATGTGAGCAGTCGAACCCAGTAGCACAGACAATTGCGTCGACCTCAAAGTGCCTCCCATCCACTGTGGAAATACCCGTTTCGGTCACTTTGTCAATCTCACATGTGACTACGGTCACATTCGGCTTAAGTAGAGACTCGAGATAGCCCTCGCCCGGAGTGAAACTGAGGGTGTGTCAGCCTAGGTACAAGAGCTTGCTCATAGCCTAAAGTGAAAACACTTACCGTCTACAGCCAACATGGAACTTTGGAATGAGCTTTTCACATAACTCTTCGTTGTTATCCAGTCGTTGCCTCATTAGCTTCGTGAATTTTGCAAACGCCTCTTTTTGTAGTTCAGAGTTTTTATAATAAAGAGGGTAGGTTGCACTGCCGAAATTCTGAACGTCTTTTCGATACTGTAAGAAATATTGCTTATCGGTGTTGAACTTTTCAATTTCTTCAGGAGTGAAAACTGTGCCTCGACCGTTTTTGGCAATCCCTTCGCTGAATTCCGGAGTGATCCAGTTAGGTGATCTGTTGAAGCTGACGATAGATTTGCAGACTAAGACATGTTAATGGCACAAACTCTAACTCTCCAGAACAGAGCTTGCCTTTTTGCATTGTCGGGACGATCTGAATACCCGACGATCCAGCGCCGATGACGGCGACGGAGGCTCCGGTATAATCCCATTCCGTATCCCAGCGGGCAGAGTGTAATAATTTGCCTTTGAAGTCGTGGAGACCACGAATCTCGGGCCATTTCCAGTTGCTATACTGCGTTAGCCATATGATGAGAGGGACACGCTGGCATGCCATACTTCAACACCCCATTGCAATTGAGAAGCACATGACAGAAATCCTCCACGATGCTACCATTTGCCAGATTCTCGATCTTCACGAACCACCCTTGATCATCTTCGGACCAACGTGCCTCAACCACTTTATGTTGGAGCTTGATATACTTAAGAATATCCCACTTCACTGCTAGACTTTTGAAGTAGGCAAAGATCTCTGGACGTTCAACATAGCTGATCACTGTGTTAGCGCAATCCCAGGCTCTTGGGTTCGTCTCTCACAATCTAGACCAATTAGGATTCCCTTCCCATGAGTAAGTGTACCCGTGGGCTGGGATGTCACAAGCACACCCTGGGTACTTGTTCTCTAGCCATGTACCTCCGACATCTTCGTTCTTCTCGTAGATGATGAAATCAACATTTTCAAGTTGCCGCTCGTACTTGTAAGCAGCTGCAATGCCGGCGAGCCCAGCCCCAATACAGATTAATCGGACATTTCTTTTCTTGTGAAGAGGCTCATTGATCAGTTCAAATGGAGCCTTGCCCTGAGAGGCAACGCCGTTGACCTTTGGGTACTGGTTATCCGTCATGACGACGTGAAGATTTTAGCGATTTTGATGCCGAGTTGAGACAAGTCTCCAGTCAATAAAGAGCCGAGTTGCTGGGTGCATTCGCCTTAAGAGAGCAGGCAATCTGTACGGGTAGGCTCGGGGGCATTCAACCTCAGCGACAAAAGGCCTCTGGCTAATGGGAAGGGTCTGGAGATGTTCGGCAATTCAACACAAGGATGGGGCTGGGGTTGGTCCGGAGCTGTCCTCGAATCTGTCCATCTATGATGGAAAGATAGGATTCATTACAAGATACTTAATGAGAGTGGATTGTCGAGATATCTGTCCCCATTCATCGAAGCTGCGAATCATGCCAGGGCACAGACACCCCACTTATGGCAGGGAGAAACATGGTTTAATGAGGACAGGAGCCATGCCAAAGGTGGTGCATTTACGATTACGTCTGAAAATCTGCCAGTTCATTGTGGTGTAGGACAATCTTCAATGTAAAGCATACCCAAGGTGGGGAGACCTGACAAGGTTTACTTTCAACCGTGCTCGGGGCGGAGTCGGGATTAAGAAATATCTGGGCACGCCTCGACCCTTCTCAAAGAGCTGTCGACGACTGTTCAACGCTATTGCCGAAGCCCGTTTTTATAAGGCCATAGGATGCTTTGTGAACGCCTCAATTAGTATCTCGACCGTGGACGGTGTCATCGCAATTAGTAGTAAGAATCAGCCGGCTCGCCTGCTACGCCAAGACGAAATTCACTGAGCTCTGTGGCGGACTTTGCTCCGGTTACAAGGTGCGCAAGACCTTTATATGTGCAATAATGTGAAGAGGATGTTTTCAGATGGCAGAACTCTCGAAATCACTCGCCCACCATCCTAAATCGTGGGAACTAGACTTTCTGGAGAGAATCCTACGAGGTTTGCCATTCAATCAGTAGGGTTCCCCATCTCAAGTGCAAGTAGAGAGCATAATAAGCCTATTGTCGATACAGTATCAATGAAAAAGTAGATATTTAAAGGCGGACGATCATCCGTTCATCAAGTGTGTCTATCCTTGGGCCCATGCGAGGAGTGCGATCGGCCATCCATCCATTGGCCCGTCCGCAGTTGAACCTACTGAGAGCAAAATGAGGGGAACGGAATGACGGACTGACCTATTGGCCAAGATTCACTCTTATCGTTACAAAGCTTAGCATTTCGACAAACTAAATACCGACATCAACCTCCCTCACTATCATCGATCGCTCCTTGACAAGTGCATGACAGTAGCGCACGAGCTGTACTGTTCATAATGGATTCTCCTCATGAAACTATCGACCAAAGTGCCATAGGCACGCCCACGTCCCGACGCATCGAAAATCTCATCGGGAAACGACGGCGCAAGTCATTCCCCAAGGCCTGCTACCCATGTCGCTGTCGCAAGGTTCGATGCGATCACAACCAACCTTGTGGAAGTTGCATCAAATACGAGCAGCCAGAGCTATGTATATATCTGGATCAGAACGGCCAAGTACGCAGGGATCCAGACCCAAACAACCCCAGAGGATCAAGGACGTCAAGGAAAGATAGGATTTCTGCCCTTGCGGACCTCGAGCAGCGTATGCAAACAATCGCCGAAGAGGTTGTGAGAAGACTAGGACCTCTTGGTGTTGGACCATCGCAGCACCCTCTGACCCCGGACGACAGCCAGCAACCCCAATTCCTTGTCCATAGCCCTTATAGTGGGCGATCAACCCAGGATGTCTCCTCCGCTGCCCCAAGGCCAGCGGGGGCAAGCCTAGGGGAAGAAACTGCACCTTCCATCTTCGTCGGCGCGAAGTCACTAGCATCTATTCTAGTTGATGTGCTTCAGCCGGTACAATTTCAGGAACAATCCCCACAGACAGATGATCAAGAGGACGATGCCCCGATATCTGCTCTTGACACCATGAAACTCTTATACCTGACTGATACGGGGTCCACGCATCCCTTTGCAAGCCTATGGCAGCCTGGAGCTACAGTCGAAGATATATGCCTTGCATTTCCAGATACTGCCAGCTTCGAACAGTACGCTATTTTCGAGTGATATTTCTACTTTTATCCGCTGACACTAGCGATCAGATGCTTAACTTCATTCTATCAATCAGTCAACTTAGTGTCACCCTCAATTCCTCTCCATGATTTCGAAGATGATGCCAGATCATTTTGGCGCGATCGTGCGATGGGATTGAAGAGGGAAAGTGAACTGCGATCTCCGTCTTGGCTTGCACTCCTATTCATTGTCCTCGCGAGTGGATGCGCTTACAACGACGTACAAGATCACGCAAATGATCTCAACTCCAGGGTGTTTGGTATGGCCTTTTGAAGATATATTTAGTATTCATTTGCTAACACGGGTTCGAATTTTAAGTCTGTTGTGCATTTGAGCTTCTCCGGCTTGACAATTACCTCCTCCATCCTACCATGGACACTGTTCGAGTCCTCGCTGGTCTATCTGGTATACTACGAGATCAGGCGAACCCAGCAGCGTCTTGGTCATTGCTAGGTGAGAGTTCTTCCAGGTCCTTTAGCATTGTATGTTAAAGAGCTAACGGCCATTGCAGGGATGGCAATACGCTCCGCTCAGTCCATTGGGCTCCATTGTGTCCCCGAGCCTACAAACGATTCCTCTGTACAGGATCAGCAGGCCTGGCGTTTGTGGTAAGTCCAAGGCAACCAGCTTAGTGAACCGTCATCACTCTACAACACAATCTAACCGTCTAAATATTAGGAGAGGGATTGTCTGGCAAGATACCACCCTTTCCCTTTGCTACGATAGACCATGTATGGCCTTTGTAGATGGATCTGTTCATCGAATTCCGCGGTCAGTAACCACTGAAGGCTTGCCCTACCTTGAATGTTGCTATGGAATTGTCATGGTCATGAATGACATCTATCATGAATGGACACATTGCCGAAGGGTTGGTTCTGCGACCCTTCCAGCGGTTCGCTTTCAGGTTGCGTCCGAGCACATCCTTCTTTGGGAAGCTACCGCAGCCGAATACCTACGAGACCGTAGGAATTGCACTGATGACACACAGCGTATGCTCCACGATGTGTTTCAGATATTTGTCAATTTTTTCCTTTTCCAGCTCGATCGGCATCATCTCGCCGCCCCTTTGATGTATCTACGCGAGGATTCGTCTCCTGACGCCACATTTGATGCAGAGCAAGAAGAAGGGACCGACCCACGCCATTCCTGTCTGGAACGTTGTGACAGGATCCTGGAACTGTTCCTGTCGCTGCGAAAGTCGCACTCACGGGCCAGCCGTTTGTGGATTCTCATGCACATTTGTTTTGGATGTTCCTTCTACATTGCAAATGAACTGAGAAGGGCAAAGACTCGGCTCGACGGCAGCATTGCACCAGAAAGCCTTCAGTCAAGACGTCAAGTTCTTTTTGATTTGGCGGAGAACCTGGAGCGGAAAACCCCGAATACCATGCATCCGCATTATACGGACAGCTTAAAGGCACTGAGACAGATTATTGCTAGTTTATATTAACAGTGTGAATGTGCTTAAAGATACAGTGGGTTCACCTGCCAGCTCCGTTAACATTTATGATTCTCCAAAAAGGCCGCTCAAATGAGACCGGGCCTCCTTGTTTGTCAAGCATTTGTGAAGGAGCATGCCCACGGTAGGATCAAGTTGAATAATGGCGAGAATCATGCTGGACTGATGTCTGAGTCTAGGGTAGACTAGGGTACGGGAAACATTTCTTCCGATGCCATTTTGGCACGATCCTCCATAAACTACACGAGGTAGAGCCGCACATCGAGCCCTGTTAGATCGAAGTGCAACTGCACAACACCTAGGGCTTGCTTCTGTTTACTGGCAAACGCTGCAGATTGTTGCCGAGGTGATGATTATGTGCCCGAGTGATAGAGTTGCCAGTAATAAAATTCATCGCTACACACGACAGTCTTCATGACACGTCTTCCAAGCTGAGGGTATTCTAGATTACTTGCTCTTTCGACGTCATTGAGTTGCCCTTTTCCACCTATTGTATCGACAAGAAAAGAGTGCTATAAGCTAAAGAACTCTGCCCTTGACCTGCTTTCTTTGCCTGGTGTCGATGGCTCGCCACATCAAGATAGCCGGAAAGCCTAACGCAGTGATTGCTGTCGCTGCAATCAACATAATCCTCTGGGAGTTACCATAGGCATTCTGAATTCCGATTCTCGTCGGATCACCTAAGGGATAACTAAGCTGAACAGTTAGATCACCGGCAATTGTAGTGGCATTGGCTTGGCTCTCGGGAGGTAAGAATCGCGCAAGGTCTGTGGAGAAAGTTCCTCCCCAAACTGCTCCAGCAACAGAAGATCCGACAGCGCCGCCGATGGAAGTGAAGACTGACAAGATAGCCAAGACCACTGCAAAGTATTGATGAGTGGTAGCTGCCATAGCGCCAACTTGCTCCGTAATAACGAGAGTCCCGCCCCCAAAGGCAATAAGTATCTGACACATGACGATATAGCCAATGTTGACGTCTGGTTGGCGGAAAACTATCATCAGCGAGACACCGAGGAGTGTGAGCGGCATTCCAAAGAAGAGGGCTTGCCATTTGAAGTCACCTGTATATCGGAGGATGATACCAGAGATGAAACTCCAAAAGCAAGCACCCATGGTATAAATGTTGAGGACGTATCCTGTTTGCACGACAGTCAATGCCGGCACCACCTGGAGGAACGACGCAAAATAAGTATTCCAGATGTAGAACTCAATGAACAAAATCATAGAGAGCAAAGCACATCCGAGGATGGTGCGATCTTTGAGCAAGTGGAACGGGATGAATGTAACCGGTGCGAACTTCCATTCCCAGATGACGAAGGCCACAATGATAACAAAGCCAACGATCAGCATTGAGAGGACTAGAGCAGACGACCATTGCTCTGATAAAGTGGAGCCCTGATATGGGAAAAGGCTGAACGGCAGCAAGAAAAGCGCCAACCCAGAAACGGCGAGGAGCAACCCAAAAGCATCGCACTCAATGGCGTAGAACCTGATCGACTGTAAAAGGGTCCGGCCTGAGTTCCTGACTGGCACAATGCCCATCTTGCAAGCTTTGTTCTGATAGTAGATTAACAAAATGATCAGGGGCAGGTTGAGCACTGGATGGAGAATGGAAAATATGCCGAAGGCCCAACGCCATCCAGGACCATTAAGCATGGACCGTACAAAGTATCCAGACGTGAATGTTGTGATGAGGTACGGTGAGGCAATGTAGGCAAAAATAAGACCCCGATTCTTGAGCTGAGAGGTGTCGGCGAGAAGGACGCTTAGGATGTAGTTTCGGTTGTTTCCACTGCATGAAGAAAGTTAGAAACCCTGAAACATTTGTCAAAGATTGAGATAGACTCACCCTGCTTGACTGAAGACTTCCGCTGCAGCATACATCTGAACATTCGTGGTGGCTGCCATCATAATTGATCCAAGGGTCATGAAGACTACGCATAGTGCGAGACCTTCGGGGCGTCCCCAAACATCAATTAGCTGTATATCAACGTCAGACCATCTTGTTCATCTCAGTGTCGTATAGTGTATACCTTGGCCAGGGGCAGCCTGGAAAGCCCAGCTACCAACTGAGCCACAACCCCGGTGATGGCAGTTAAACCATGCAAAGAGAACTCGCTGGTCACGTATGGTGTCAACTGCCAACCAGTTGGGCCTTCAAATGCATCGATAAAGTAGATCACCCAGACCCTATTTGCTATCAGTACTGAAGCTCTCGATACGCGCTCAATGAGCTCACCAGAGATAAGTGAAGTATAGCGCCCATTTGGGCCAGACTTGGGCCATTCCCTCTACCTTCTGAATACCTGTTTGCATATCCGTGTGTACGAGCTCATCATGATTGTCAGAATCCTCCGACGCAACAGATTTGATATTTCTCGACTGATCAGCGCTGAGAACCTTTGGTTCGCCCCTTGGTACAGTCTTTTCAATGCCGGGCGAGGTCTCGCTGCGCAGAATTTCAGGCTGACCCGCGGTCGGGTCAACCCTTAGACGACTAAAAAAACTCATGACGACGTAGTCAACTTTAAGCAGCGTGGTATGTCAATAAAGTTAGAGCGGGAGAAGAGAGTAATACTGAGGGCAGCCACGTCTTCTATACCCTGCAAGAGGAAAAAAAATCGGCAACGCACCATGTCACCCTCGACGGGCTGGGCATACAACCCTGATCTTCATAAGGCCCACATAGTATGATCATAAGGCCTGGAGCGACTTGGCGTCCATTCCTGTTGTCGCGCTACCACCATTGTATTTTGCCAAAGGTCAGAATACGGAGTACTGTTGGAGGATGAGGATTAATATCAACGTCGATAGCACTATGTATCTATTTAAGCGCCCCTGTATATATGTCCGGAGATTTTAATCTAGTCTACTGGGCTATATTTACCACGAGACCTCAATGCCTCGTCTGAGCTTCCCAGGTGATGGATCATGGGGTGCGCTTGGCCATCAGTGAACTTTTCCAGTGACAGGGTTGTCTCCAGATTAGATCCAATCAGATTAGATAATGAAAACTCTCGGGATGATTAAAGTTTACATCAAGATGGAAAACATTGATGATGTCAAGGGACCAAGGAGAACGTACTCCGTAGGAGCTCTCTACTGCGTACAGGGTGCACCCCTGCGAGCTGGCCGATATCGGTGTGGGCTTGGCATCACCTGATGGATTACGTGACTGGGCAATTCGTACCGACAATCAGACCTAGCAAACCCCATATAATAACAAGTACCGGCCTTTGATAGTGCTACGCAAATTGAGCCATCTTTGGATGCTGGTGGCTTTGCTGGCCAGGGTAAGTATGCCAGGCTATATAAAGACTGTTTTCTCAGGGATCTCGTGACCTGTCACAACCCACAACAAGGCAGAGAAGCAAGAAAATGGCGTTGTTCACTTATCGGGCGCACTACACTTTGGCGTATAGCAGAACAGGCTCACAGGTGCTAGAAACCGGTGGCCCATGCGCTATGACTATATGGTGCTCCTGTAGGACTTTGCAGGCCTCTTTGTTGAACCAACCGAATATCGATGAGTTGATTGAGGATGAGACAACAAGGAGTGGGTGAAAACAAGTCGCACTGGAAGAGATGTCTTGGTATCCACGTGACCCCACAGGCCAACAGCTGCTTCGCGACTTCCCCTACGCGACTATGCCACCATTTCATCACCGATACACTGGTAGCCAAAGTTGACCTTCCGTCCACCAAGTCTACACTGACTTGTGGCAATTGTGCTGGCCTCGGGTCTTACGACTTTCATAGAGTAAAGTTGTCAGAGATGGTGATGATAAGCTTGTCTGGAAATTACGCCATGGGTTGTCACTCTTGGGTGTTTTTACTATATCAACATTTGCACTACTTTGTTCCCGACTAAAGCGTCTTGAGTACCCCTACATGTTCTCGTTACCTTCGCCATGGATGGAACGTAGCTTTACTTACCTACTGTGCGCTCATCCTCACTGGAACAGTACCACACTCGTGTTGCTGTTGCCTCGGCTCAAATCTTGCTTGCTGGCTTGGGAACAACGACAAATTTTCCCGCCCAAGGACCCGCAGCGCCTCGGTCCTTTTGTCTCATCATCTCTTCTGTCATGCTGGGATCTATCTCAATATCATATAATTGATATAGCCGCGTTAAGGTCAGACGAAGACCGATCTCAGCCAGATGTTTGCCAATGCAGTTCCGAGGCCCATGTCCAAATGGTTTCGCCATAGCCCTCATGTCTGAGCTGGCGTCCAACCACCGCTCAGGTACGAATTCGAGTGGATTTGGAAAGTATTTGGGATCCCGATGAGTCGAGTAAGCCACAGTGGCAACCACAGTACCTGCAGGGACGAACACGCCGCCGATTTGCTTGCCAGGCGACACTCTGGGAAATCCGACATTGAACGGACCCCATAGTCTCAGCGTCTCCTCGATACAAGCGTTAAAATATGTCTGTTTATACGGGTTAGCAGTAGTCATACTATGGAAAGGATAGAGATTCAATCACTAATTGGGATGCTTGTTCGTAGTTCGGCATCTGGTCAGGATTGGGAAACGCACTGCGGATCTCTTCCAGCAGCTTCTTCCTGACTTTTGGCCGACGGCCGACCTCCCACATCAGATACATGGATGTTATCGCTGTGGTATCACTACCCGCCAGAAGGAAGATAATAGTGTTCTCCACTAGGTCTTCGAAAGAAAGCCTGGATCCCCCGGTCTCGTCATCTCGAGCGTCAATCAAGTTCCGGAGAAATGTGCCCTTGGCGAAATTTTCACCTTGCTTCTCAATTTCTGCTTGAAAGCTGCCGACGCTCTTTTGAACAAATCGCACAAGCCTTCCTAGACTGCGGTATGCCTCTTGAATTCGCGGGATTGGAACATGTCTGAGAAACGGAAGGAACGCTTGGACTGGTATAACAACAAAGCTATCATGAATCAGCATTATAGTCGTCGTTTCGAATCAGAAACACGTGGTCAACTCCAGTGGACGTATAGCTTACAAGCAATCCATATCTGCATGGCTAATCTCGCCTCGTCCAGAAAGAGAGTTAAAAGACTCGCCATAACTGAAATGGCTTGAGATATCGAGGAAATTACACATCATCTTGCCGAATATATCAACTGACTGTCCCGACCGAGCAGCAGGCTCAAACACGAGGCGATCAAGCTCATCAACCTTCCTCCGGACGAGTGCTTCATCCTTCAGTAAAGCGGAGAGGGAGAATGCATGCGACAGTAGTCGCCGGACTCGAGCGTGCTCGACCTTACTAGTCGCGTTGAAGACGCTGGTGGCTCCCGTTGCCGTCATTTGATCATAAAATCCTGGTTCCTTCAGGCAAGGGGTAGAGCTTTGCCCGTAAATATCGACCCAAGACTTCATATCGGCGAAGAAAAGCTGATTTGTGGAAACGCGAACTGGACTACCGTATTTCTGAATCATATCATTCTGCCAGTAGCATCTTGTCATCTTGAACATGGCTAACATTGGATAGATATCGGTGAATCTGGCGAAGAATGGTCCAGGGTACTTGGCGAGGGGGTGAAACCAGGCGCGATAGACGAAGACGCCCAGAAGGTACGCCGCCAGGAGTGCCCACAACGTGGTGACCACGCTTTGAGATTGATATTCGATCATTTTGGTGAGCAACGTCATCGTGAAGTTTGCGGCAGTGAGTGATGTACGCTGCAGTGAGACGGATAATTTGTGAGTCGGTTGCGATCCTTTCGTCCTGTCCTCTCTTGATGATGCTCGAGATTTGGCAGACACGTGCCGAGGATATGAGCGGAAGTATTCACGTCTTAGGCGCTTCCGGCAGTGTGTTTCTATGGGTCGTTGGCTCATAATGCATACTAGGCAGAACAATATCCTAGGGGTACCTCCCTCCGGAGGCCTACTCAGCTCAGTGGCAGCGGAAATGCCGTTTTTACGGGGATCTGACGGATATGCCGATCCCCCCGGACTTTAGGCCCGCTCGGCTCGCATCGAGAAGAGCAAACGGCGAGGCCCCATGAGGAAGATCTCAAGCCTAGAGTCGTTGTCCTCCTTACTTAGCACTCGACAAGGCCCACACCGTTGTCGTGCTCCTTTCGCATGCCATTGCAGCTTGGGAATGTGACAACCGACAATTGTATCTCCCTGTACGCTAGTAGACATGCCTTCCCTCCCCGTCTACAGACGACATTCCACCTGTCGAGGTGCATGCGTTGGCTGCCAGTATACTACACCAGAGATAAAGATACAACAAAAGCTCGCCAGCGTTATCCCGACATCAGTTTCTTAATCCGTCATCACTAGGGCGATCAATCTACCCAGACCCTCCCTTCGAGCGGGTACGAGAGGTGCAAACGGAATCACGGTTCGATATTGGACCTTGGGCGGCAGATCCTCTGCTTGCCGGCACTTAGACATATTTTGCTCTTCCAGCTTACCCGTATTCTACGATCAGATCGCGGAAACCCCTCTACCGCGGATGACTCCAATATTTGTCATTGCTCCAGTCGGAATTCGGCTCGTAGTCCGATGCTCGTAGCGTGGATAAGCCAGATTGGCGGGTAAGCCGTCCTCTTGCTCTTATTCTGCTATCGGCACGTTCTCAAGACCGAACTAGGCATCAGAAAATCGACCGGGAGGCTGTGCAAAATCTGACATTCGAATAATTACATAATTCCAGCAGGAGTGTGAGGAATTATTTATTATACTCCAGTAAATGTTTACGTTGGACTGAAGTGTCAATGATTGCTTCGATAGTGTTGTAAGATCCTCGTCCTATTCTCAGTTCTGCTTGTATCCCCTGTTTTTCTTCTCTTAGATGGATGGATGGGCGGCTCATAATGGCGACGTCCTTGAAGAGACCGGTCAACGTACTAGCATCTATTGAACACTCTCTCAACCCTAAGCTCTCTTTAATCCCTGAAGCAGCCCATCTACTTGTGTCGAATCCCGGATAATGGCAGTGGATGCACCGGACCAGCCCAGGCCCGAAGTCTTGCCCCGTATACTTGGATACAAGCAAGAATGATGAAAGCCACAGCGACAACGACAGCCTGCAGTCCAAAGGTGAGGGCATAACCTTGTTTCTCCACCCATGATTCAACAAAGTAGGGAACGGAAAAGCCTGCCCCAACCCGAGCCATATTGATTAGTGCCGAAACCTCGCCGGATGCTGATGAATAACAGTCTAGGGCGAAGGCGACGGTGGCTACCGAGGTGACCATGACCCCGAAGACATTCATGCCCCAACCGAATACAATGCCAGCCACACTGAGTTTATGTTGTAACGTCTCTCCGACGATGATAAGACCGGGCACCATGAAAGCCAGACCTACGTAGGTTGACCAAAGCCGAACCTCGGGGACAAAATACCCTTTGTGACGCTTTCTTAGGGTTAGGGTTAGGGTTAGGGTTAGGGTTAGGGTTAGGGTTAGGGTTAGGGTTAGGGTTAGGGTTAGGGTTAGGGTTAGGGTTAGGGTT